CATCCAGCTCTTACATTCTGAGAACCCATGAAGCTAAACTGGGTCCAGGAACAGTGGTCTCAATGTCCATGTCCCTGTGGGGTCCTTCCCTAGACTTGATCAGAGGGGCCTCCCCAGTGGAGCCGGGAGAGCTGAAAGGTGAATCCCTCACTGGACATCAGTGGGATTGGCGCCTCTGAGGGGCCCTTCACAAGCTTCCCATTCAGTGTCTTGGCCTCAACTAAACTGCATTCACCTCTATTCTGTTCTGGCCCTGGCACACAGCTTTCAGAGCCTGCCTCACCCCTGCCTCCACTGAATCACCAGGAGGGCACAGTGAGGAGAGTCTTCTCCATGGTCACCTGGCACAGAAGGGGAGGGCGGAGTCCCAGAGCCAGGTCTTTGGAACCCCTTCGAGTTACAGGCTCCTTTCGTCTCTATTTCATGGTTGGAGAAGGGATGCTGAGAAGGCAAAACAGCTGTGTGCCACTTAGGTCCCAGATGTGGGATCAGCCATTTTGGCTTCGAACCTTGAGTTTGTCACTTGCTGGCTTTTTGAACTGGAAAGTTACTGAGCTGTTTTGAACCAGTTTCCTCACCTATAGATCATAGAGTTTCCACTCATAAGGTCTTCATGAGAATGAAGAAGGCCTGCTGTGTAGTAAGTGCTCTATAAGCACGAGCTGCGATTGTCATTGGTTCAGGACTGGAGTAAGGATGTCCTGCACAGAGGAGAATTATAGAAAGGAATTTATAAGCTTTGATGTAATAGACAATTTTAAATATTATTTAGCACATTCTAGTTGGCAATGTCAGGCAGAGTCCTCTACTAGACTTTTGAGCTAAGGATTTCCCATATTGAAGCCCATGTTTCAGGTAGAGTCAGTCCTCCATATCTTTGGCTTCTGTGCCCTTGGATTCAACCAGCCGTAGAGCAAAAATTCAGAAAAAATTGGTGTCTGTACAGAACAGGTACTTTTTTCTCGATTCCCTAAAAATATGATATAACTATTATTTCTGTGCCATTTATATTATATCAGGTATTATGAGTATCTAGAGATGATTTAAAGTGTTCAGAAGGACATACTTAGGTTAGATGCTGTTTTATGTAAGGCAGTAGGACATTTGCAGATTTGGTGTTAGCAGGGGTCTTAGAACCAACCCTCCCAGAATATCAAGCGACAATTGTAATTAAATAAAGAAGATATCTAGCAGGTTCTGGTAAAAATAAACTCATTTCAGTATAGGCCAGTTCCTGGGTGGCAGCTGTCTGTGTATCACCAGGACAATGGAGTTTACTGTTATCCGTGGGACCCTGAGTCAATGGGATCAGAGCGGGTTTTGGCCCAAGGTCCTGTGGGCTGCTTTCTCCAAGCACAAGACTCCTGGGATGCAGTACAATGACTATCCTGGGCTGGCAGAACGAGTACTTTATGGCTCAAGAAGAGTAAAACAAAGCATAAGGAAAAAGAAAATGTGGGCAACACTTTTGGTGGCAGGATGGATGCACACACGGATGAATGGACAGAAAGCTCTGTCTTCTGGAAGAACCAACACCAAGGAGAGATTGCTGGTGAGATGAGCAGATGCAGAAGCAGAAATAGAAGCAGAGGGTGTGACAGGAACCATTAAACCAGGAAGAAGTGGGGTGCAGAAATGGGCGGCAGCAGCAATGTGGGTTGAAGCAAAGAAACCAGGTGTCTGTGAATGTGGAGGAATGGAGAATGGAGAAATGGGCTTGTCTGTGAGACAGAGCATGGCAGGTGCGCCCCACTCCCAGCCGCACTTCGTTCTGGAAACTAAGATAGTTGAGAACAGGTAACTTCTTTGGCTCCCCATGTGCCTGCAGTCATTCCATTTGGCCACTAGATGTCGAGAATGCATCGAGAGGGCACATGTCCAGGTCCAGGAAATAAGTGGAGAAAGTCAGCAAGAAGGGGGCTTTAGGGCCACTGCAAGTGAACTGGAATGGGAAGAAGGTAGAGAAGAGCTCTTACCACCAAGATCCATGGAGGAAAGTTGCTGCATTTTTCATTTGTGTGCTGTTTTGCAAATTTGCGGGATTTTCAGGACAAAGGAAGAAGTGAGAAACATTTTCACATTAACTAATGTTCTTTAGAGCTTGTGAACATTTTTTAAAAGTCAGATGAATAACTTTAAAGTTCTTAAACCTTCAGCCCAGATTAGGGATGGTGATGGTGGAGGCAGTGGTGGCTGCTAATGTCCCATGGCTTTTCTATGTTTTTTTTTAACTGTATATCCTTTTATTGGTACATTTTAGGTATACAATATAATGACATTCATCATTAGAAATTTGCACCTTTACATAATCTCTTGGTTCTTATTTTTCCCCCTTCCCTGCCCTCCCTTCAACCCCTCCATCCCTCCCTATTTACACAGACTTTGTTTCCATTTTTTCATTTTCTCATATTAATTCCATTCCCTTCTTTCCTTTCCCCTACCCCTCCCACTTCCCCTTACATTTTGCCCCTTTTCTTCCTATTTCACATTATTTATTATACCTTTTAGTCCTTATTTACACTTTCAGTTTCTCACACTAGAGAAACCATGGCTTTTACTATGAAGAGGTGTTCTCAGTACTCTGCAAAAAATTAACTCATTCATTACTTACAACACACCTATGAGGTAAGTGCTGCTATTATCCATTTTGCAGGTGAAGAATCAGAGGCTTGAGAGGCCATGTGGCCTGCTCATAGTCACGTGGCTGTCAGTGGGAGCATCAGGAGTCAGCCTTGGCATCTGGACCCAGAGTCCATATTTGTTATGGCTGTGTCTAGATGTCCCCCTGAAGCCTGGGCTTTTCAGAGATGGCTGGGTCTAGAATGAGTGACACTGGGATTGATTCATGGTGCAATGTAGGATCAAGGGCACTAGAATTAAAGGTGTGCTACCTGCCCTAAGTAGCCTGGATAAGGTATAAGGGATAGAAAGAGCTGTGGTCATCCCTTGCATGCTTTGCTACCTTCTGCCCACCATGAACTGTTTCTCCTTTGTGATGCCTGTCTGCCATGCCACCCTGCCTTGGAGCCAGCTAGTTCCAAGGGACTGAAACCTGTACAAACTGTGAGCTAAATAAACCTTTCCTCCTTTAACTTTGAGTGTTGGGTATTTTGTCACAGCAAGAAAAGTAACTAAGACAATATTGTTATTTACCACGCTCTCTGCTACATGTTACCCATTGACTCCTGACTCATGACAAAGGGAACTTGCTAAGCAATAGAGCAGTGCCGTGATTTAATGGTAAGAGGCACAGAATTCCTCATTCCAATCAGCTCACTTCTTAGGACTCCCAGTGAAAATGAGTATGATGACAGAGCTGTCCAGCAGTTCATTTCAAGTTCCCTGACTTTGAGCACCTGGTTAGGCAGGAGACACCTTTGGTGGAAGCCTCTACTCTGGAGCCAGGAATTCCACGATATTTCTGTGCCTTAGCACAGAAAGATGATCATAAACTCAATACTGAAGAAGAAAAGTGCACTTCTAGTTGGGGACTGGGAGACAAAATACTATTTCTATTTCAGGTTTCCTGGGCTGCCAAAGGTATTCATACAGAGTAGTAAATGTGGTATATTTAAAGTCAAAGACCAGAATTCTGATCTGATTGAATATATACTTATCATATGATTCTTTTACTCCTAGATATTTACCTAAAAGAAATTAAAGCATATATCTACAGAAATAATTGTACAGAAACATTCATAATAGCTGTATTCACAATAGTCCCAAATTACAAACAAACCAAATAACATGAGAATAGACAGATTGTGGTATAGCCATACAATAGAATGCTATTCAGCCATAAAAAGAAATTCCAATTCATACACCATCTGAAGTAAATCTCTAAAATATGTTTGCTGAAAGAAGACAGGCCCAAAAGAGTTTATATCATATGAATCCATGTGTATGGAGCTCTAGGACATGCAGAACCAATCCATAAGGACAGAAACAAATCAGTGATTGCCTAGGGTTGGGAGAGTGTTCAGGAATTGGCCATAAAGGGGCATGAGGGACATGTTTGGTGTGATGGAAGTTCTGTATCTTGACTGTGGTCTTGACTACATGGATGTAAATTCTAGAGACTGCACTGATCATTTGCCTCTCTGGGCCTCAATTTTCCCATTCATAAAACTATGGTTATTGGATTAAATAGCATCTAGGATTTCTCCTGGCTCAGAATTTTCCCTCTTTATTATGGAAATAGTATACCAAAGTGCAATTTGCTTCATAAGAATTCTTTTTATAGGTAAGGATGAGTGTATTCTAAAACTGCAGAAACCTAAGTATTAGGTTATGTAATCATACTCCTTTTGGGGGCAGAGCCATTTGTAGGCCCATTCTATTTAAGAAATAGCTGAGAAAACTATTTGTATGTGAGTAAGAAGGGTGTTTCCCCAGAGAGTTCCCAAAGTTATGGGGGGCCTCTTGCATTCACACTGGAGGAGGGACACAGGGATCACAGCTAGCAAGACCAGAGAGGACAACTGAGGAAGGCCAGGCTTGCCATACCCTCTGGGCTGTGGTTGTTCTTTGTTATTTCCTGTCTACTATCCCACGACTGACATGTGGACTTGGTGAGGATAATTATGGTGGCCCTCATGATGACAGTAATTATGATGGTGGTCATGGTGATGAAGAGGGACATGATGGTGATGATGGGGTGGTCATGGTGATGAAGATGGATGTGCTGATGATGATGGTAATGATGGTGGTCACAATGAAGCTGCTGTTGATTCCAATCTTTATTATTATTATTTTTGGGGGGGGGTACCGGGGATTGAACTCAGGCCCTTGCGCTTTCAAGGCAGGTGGCAGAACCACTGAGCTAAATCTCTGGCCTGATTCCAATCTTTAGAGTTTGTGCAAAAGGAAAGACATGCAAGGATGTCATGGGAATAGGGTGGGGACAGATGGGACACAGAACTTGGGGTGGAACTAGGAGCAACAGAGTGGACCATGCTGGACCAAACAGACTGCTGTTTTTCGCATTCCTGTGTCCCCAGGTCATGAAAACCTACCACATGTACCATGCGGAGAGCATCAGTGCAGAAAGCAAGCTAAAGGAGGCCGAGAAGCAGGAGGAGAAGCAGTTCAACAAGTCAGGAGACCTCAGTATGAACCTGCTCCGGCACGAGGACCGGCCCCAGCGCCGCAGCTCTGTGAAGAAGATTGAGAAGATGAAGGAGAAGGCGAGTGGGGGCCCTGGCCTGAGAGAGACAGGGGAGGGAGAGTACAACAGGGAGGCCACACGCCTGGCCCACACCCTTGGCCTTCTCCCTATCCCCCAACCAGTCTTTGAAGAGATTTAGGATTTCTGAATATTGGTGCTGAATGTCCTTGAAGTAGGGCATGATGAGAGGAGGGTAGTTCTGGAGTCCAATGCACTGGGGCTTGAAAATCCCACACTTAGGACACCTCACTGAACCTCAGTTTTCATATCCAACAGGTTGGTGAACAAGTTTCATCTCTCAAGTTGACACTGATCAATTGGTCATGCCCACCCAGGCTTGGTTAGAAATGTTCTAGGATCATTTGATGATGTCTGCCATGGCAGGGAATTCCAAAGCACAGGACCAAGTGCGTTCTGTCACTCTAAATGAAGTGACCTCTAAGATTCCTTTCTCTTAGAAGCCTATGATTTTCTTATTGAATTTTCCATCTTCATTCATTCTGTGCAGTCACTAAACATTTGCTGATTTCCTTCTAGGGTCCAAACAGTGCATCAGATGCTTATTTGGGCTTCTATAAGTCCAATTCTATGATTATAGGATCCCTTGGGTATAGGAAATTGGGTGAGAACAAAGTCCAAGAGGACCTGGGTAAACTGGAAAAGTAATTTAGAGGCAAAGAAAAGAAAATTGTAGGGTAATTCCTCTCTCTCTGTCTCTCTCTCTCTGTCTCTCTCTCTCTGTCTCTCTCTCTGTCTCTCTCTCTCTGTCTCTCTCTCTGTCTCCCTCTCTTTCTTTTTATTTTTTTGAAACAGGGTCTTGCCATGTAGTTCAGGTTGGTCTTGAACTCATGATGTAGCCCAGGCTGGCTTCAAACTTGCTGGGATCCTTGTGACTCAGCCTCTGTAGAGCTGGGATTACAGGTGTATATTGTCATGTGTGGTTCTCTAGGGTAATTTCTAAAGGCAAGGAAAACTACAACAACCAGGTAGAGACCCAATTTAAAAATGGGCAAAAATTTAAATACATATTTCTCAAAAAGGTAACCATGTATAAGTGATTAATAAGTGCATAAAAGATGACCAACATCCTTAATGACTAAGGAACTGCTAATTGAAACCATAATGGAATCTGGACGTGGAGACACATGCCTGTGATTTCAGCCCTCTGGGCAGCTGAGGCAGGAGGATCACAACTTTGAGTACAGCCTGGGCAACTTAGTGAGACTCTCTCAAAATATAACAGGGCTGAGGACGTAGCCCAGTGGAAGGCCCTAGGTTCAATCTCCAGTACTTCCAACAACAAAAAACAATAATGAAGTACTGCTTCACATCTATTTGAATGGCTAAAATTGTTTTTAAGCATTGGTAAGGATGTAGAGATATTGGAGTCATCACACATATGCTGGCAGGAATGTAATGTGGTTTTGTTACTTGGAAAACAGTCTGGCAGCTCCTTAAAACATTAGACAGAGACTGTATTACCACATCACTCCATGATTCCACTCCTAGATGCCTATCTAAGAGAAATTCAAACATGTCTATACAAAAACTTGTATCCAAGGTGTGGTGGCACACACCAACTACTCAGGAGGCTGAGAGTAGTATGGAGGATCAAGTTCAAGGCCAGTGGGCAATTTAGTGAGACTCTGTCTCAAAATAAAATAAAAAGGGCACAGGATGTAACTCAAAGGGGGAGTGCTTGACTAGAATAATGAGGCCTTGGGTCCAGTCTCTGGTACTGAAACAGAAAGAAAGAGACAGAAAGAGAGAGGGAGAGGGAGAGAGCAAGGAAGGGAGGAAGAAAAAAGAAAAATAAGGGACAAAGGAGGCTGGATGGGGATGGAGGAGGAAGAAGACAGGGCTTGAGAATGGACAGGGACCAGGTTACTGAGGCTCCCGAGCACCTTGAGAAGCCCTGGGGTTCCATTTATACCCCCATCCTGGTAAGGCCACGCTGAGGCTGCTGTGTCAGCTGTCACTGCTGGCTACACAAGTGGCAGACATGGTGTCGGGCCTGCACTCCCCACAGTTCACAGTTGTGGTGTGGGATTGGACATCACGAATCCTTCCCTGAGAGGCTCAGTTCTGAAGCCTGCCTTTTTCTTCTTCCAGAGGCAGGCAAAGTATTCCGAGAACAAGCTGAAGTGCACGAAGGCCCGGAACGACTACTTGCTCAATCTGGCAGCCACCAATGCAGCTATCAGCAAATACTACATCCATGATGTCTCTGATCTCATCGATGTGAGCACTCTGGGAACTGGGCTTGTGCATCTCCTTGCCAAAGGGAGTGGCCGTGGTCCTTAGCCAGTGTAGGGTGCTGACTGGCCAGTGGGCCCCTGCCAAGGGGAAGGGCAGTGAATGTTGAGGCTGAGCTTCTGTGTCATCTCTGTTGGAGCCGGGACTGTGTCCCTGTCTTCTGTGTCCTGCACAAAGGGGGACCCACCTTGTAGATGCTTAGTAAAGTTTCAGTGCTGGTTGCTGGTTTCTTTCCCTCTGGCCCGTGTGTCCTGTGAGAAGGAGGTCAGAGGGTCCTCACTTTCTGGTGGCTGCAGAGGAGAACCCATCAACACCATCATAGGGAGGGTGTTGCCTTCCAAATCACCTAAGGCCAGGCTCCTCTTTTGCCTACCTACTTTCTTTGTGGCTCACATAACCCTTTCATGCATTGGTTTGCCAAGCTTTTATTGAGCACCTACTATGTCCTGGGATGTCCTGTCCGTGGGCAGCGATCTGGCTTCATGGGGTGCACCCTGCAGAGCACATGTGAAGAGGCAGTCACAGTGCCGTGTAGCAGGGGTCACGTTGAGGGGCAGGGGCACCGGACACAGCTGTCAGGGAGGCTCCCTGGAAGACAGGCCCTCTAAACTGAATGGTGAGGGAAGGGTGCCCCAGGCAGAGGGCATCCGTGTCAAAGCCTGGAGATGAGAAACATACAGATTTTGGGGGGCCAAGAGCTCTGTTGTTACCCAAACTTCAATGCCCAGCCTATGTGGGCTTCCCCGTGGTTTGTGTGCAGAATGGAAGGGCTCTGAGCTGCTTCCTGCTCTCATCTACACCCTCTGTCTTCCCCTCCCAAAGTGCTGTGATCTGGGCTTTCACGCCAGCCTGGCCCGCACCTTCCGGACCTACCTCTCTGCCGAGTACAACCTGGAAACCTCTCGCCATGAGGGACTGGACGTCATCGAGAATGCAGTGGACAACCTAGACTCCCGCAGCGACAAGCACACGGTCATGGACATGTGCAACCAGGTCTTCTGTCCTCCGCTCAAGTTCGAGTTCCAGCCCCATATGGGGGATGAGGTCGGTCTCCCCAGGACTCTGCCTGATGCTGTGTCTTAGTCTGTTTTCTGTGGCTGTGACAAAGTACTGAGGCAAATAGCTCCCTGGGCTTGTTTGTGTCATTCCCACCTCTAGAAGTATGGGGGACCCAGACCACCAGGGCACCAGCACCACCAGCCAGATTTCCAGGGGAGCTCAGCTGGCTATATAAGGAACCTGCTTGTTGTGGGGAAGGAGGGTCCTCAGAAGGTGGCATGTGCTGTGTGCTCTAGATGCTCCAGGTGTCTGCATTTGCAGAGGACTCCTACAGGGTGATACCCTGCTCCTGAGGCAGCTCTGCCCTCATGTCTGCCTGTTAAGCCCATCACCTACACCTGACAATTCTGTGATATTGTGGTGAAATTTGGGTCACTTGGCTAGTGATAAATAACTAGCTTTGTCAAGAGACCTACTGTCCCTTCTGATCTTGGTGGCATTTCTGGAAGGGATAGCATACCTGGTAACCAGCCCATAGGTAGTGATAGAGTCCTGAATAGAAAGGTATGGGGAAAACCGTACTGGTCATCACTCAGTGTCTATGTGAGACTGGCCAGGACATCTGTGGACACCAAAATCTGCAAATGCCTAGGGCCTTAAATAAGATGGCAGAGTATTTGCACAGAACCTATGCTCAACCTTTTATATACTTTAAATCACCTCTAGGTTACTTAGAATCCCCAGTGAAGTGTAATGCTATGTCAGTAGTTGTCACACTCTATTGTTTAGGAGACAGTGACAGTAAAGTAAGTCTGTGCATATTTGGTACAGATTCAGTATTCTTTCCATATATATTTTCTATCCTTGGTTGGTTGAATCTGTGGACATGGAACCATGGAGGGAGAAGGCCAGCTGTATTCCTCTCCCTTCTCCCTCCCCATCCACCCAGCTAGTGCATGGTGAGAAGCTGAGGGGGCTTCCCTGTTAGGAATGAGGTGCCCCACTGAACAATCTCCGGCATTGTCCTTTCCTTCTTGCCACACTTTCCTGCTTGGAAATTATTAGCTTCCCTCAATAAGATTACATTAAATCTTGTTGTAAACCACAAGTGCAGCACAGATAGAGACGTTGGTAAATTCCCTGGCCACAGCAGGAGGGTGGGTGTTGGAGCAGGATGATCCTGGCTTCCAGGTGGCATTGTGGTTGCCATGGCTGAGCAGGGTGACCTCAGGCCTCTTTGCCTTGCTGAGCTTGTCTCCATGCTGCTGTTGAGGTGTGGTGATGGCCCTGCCCTACTCCATCTTCTTCCTGCAGGTGTGCCAGGTCAGTGCCCAGCAGCCTGTCCAGACAGAACTGCTCATGCGGTACCACCAGCTTCAGTCCAGACTGGCCACGCTCAAGATCGAGAATGAGGAGGTGCGTGTGCAGGATTCTCTGGAGGACCAGACTCAATAGGAAATGTTTAACTGTGCAATGGGTGGGGGGTATCAGGTAGACTCACAGAATCGGAGGCAGGAGAGTCCACCATGGCCATCTGAACCCTAGAGAGCTGGAGGAGCCAGCAGCTGCTTTGCCTAAGAAGGTGAGAGCCACACCACAAGAGGGATAAGGGTGCAGTGTCAGTCCAAGGTCGAAGGCCTGGGAGCTCCCTGGAGAGTGGTCCGTGCATTGAGAGGCTGAAGAAACCATGGACCAATGTCCGAAGACGATGGCGAAGACTGGAGTTCTTCAGAAATGGGCACACTTTCACCTTCTTTCCAGTTTTTATTTCATCCAGGCTACAAATCTAATTGTTGGTTCCACTCTCAATGAGAGTGCTCTTCCTGGCTCTGTTTGCTGGCCTACCTGTCAGTCATCCACAGACACACCCAGGACTGTGCTTGCCAATCTGCCAGGGGGTTCTCCATCCATTCAAGTGGACACACCATGGTTATGGTTACAAAGAGCAAGCCCCTTGCCTGGGAGGGGTTTGCTTATAAAGGCCTGGCTTGTACTGGGAAGTCCTCTTGGGCCTGGAATACATGAGAAATGATGCTTCATCTATAAATCAGGAGACTAGACAACTGTGCTGACCACATACACCGAGTCTGCAATGGCAGAGGGAATGCTCACGGATGTTGAGTGAACAAGTAGGATTCAGTCCAATGTGATCACAACTGAGGCAAGCCAAAGTCTGTGTATATATAGCTGGTGTGTGTTCACAGGGATAGAAAAGAGACTGGAGGGAAAGAGTTCAAAATGTTAACAGTGCTTATGTTGGGTCTTGGGATTGATAGGGTTTTGTTGACTTTATTGTGCTTTTTTTTCTGTTTTCTACAAGAAGTTTCTGTTTCAATTATCAAAAATCTTAGTAGGTATTTAAAATCATACAGTGCAGTAAACAACCCTGAGCACCTAAATGTGTTGAGAAGTCAGGGTTCAAGGAGTAGGTCACACCTAGCACACCTCCCACGAAGCTGGATACAGCGTTGCCCCTGGAAGATGCAGGTGGAAATGTCACCTGAGGTGGCTGCATTCTGATGTAGACTGAAAAGCCCAGACGGGAAAGTTGCACACCTACTCCGAGGAGAATGCCAGCCAACCGGAGGAGGAAGGACACCAGGATGGGGGTATCTCCCAAGGTCATGGGCAGTCACGGTGAACATGGGTGAGAAGATATGGGTGCTGTCTTTGAGTCTCAAGAGGGCTGTCCAGAGTAGAGAAGACAGGACTGCCTGGCAGAGACTGGGAGAGAAGACACAGACAGTAGAGAAGACACAGACAGTAGAGAAGACACAGACAGTAGAGAAGACACAGACAGTAGAGAAGACACAGTAGAGAAGACAGGGCAGAGCTAGGACAGATGTGAGGCAAATTGGGGCTCAGGATGGTGAGGACTCTGAGCATTCCTGGGGAAGGTTATGTGGATGCAAACCAGGCAAATGACAAGAGATAAACATGGTGTGTTCTTCCTTTCTTTGTGCCCTACATCTTCTCCCAAAGGGTTTTAAATTGCGCACATAAAAAATAAAAATTAAAAAATAAATTGCTTACATGGAACAGTATATAGATAATGATGGAACTTAAATTGAAAAATCAGGGCCACATAAAGGAGAGTGAAGTAAATGCTCCTCTCTGTGGGCTGTTAATGGGCATGGAGATGCTTTATTTCGAACCCCAGCTTCCTGTCAGTGTGTATTAGAAAGAACAATTGATTTATTAATTCAATAAACATGCATTTAAGCAATATTTAAGTACTTATTGAACATATACTAGGTGCTAAGTATTGTTTTGGATAGAGAATAAAGTTAATGAACATAACAACATTGTACCTCCTCTCATGAGGCTTATACTCTAGTGAGGAAAAAAACCCAGATAAAAGTTAAAGCAGAATAACAATTAACAAATGAATATGGAAACAATATTAAGCAATGATAAACACTAGGTTAAGGCCTCAGCGGGTCCTGACATGATAGAGGTGATATTTTAGCTGAGATCTGAGTGACCAGAAAGGATGTTGAGAATAATCTTACAACAAACGTAGAGTTTTTCCATGCTATTTTGGGATGGCTGTCACTCATTTAGGGCCTGCCACTCAGACACTATCTGGTACAAGGTGTTCTGAGGGCCTGTTTCTTATGCCCCGCTTGTGTAGCCTTGCAGCATCTCTCAATTCTGGGAGAGCAATTAGAATCTTCTTCTACTGTTGTCCCTACTGAAGTGACCACCTCCCCTTGGGACAGCTGCTGTGGGGCCGCATAAGCAGACAAACAGAAACAAACCTAGAAACTGGAGCCCTTTGTCCTAGGTAACAATCCCCACAGTTCCCCCTGACAGAAGGAATACAATAAAATGACGTTAGAGGGCCCCCCTGGCTTCTCACCCCAGTGGGCTTTATAATCCTGGACTAATGATTAATTTGTCTTAATTTCCATAACGACATATGGAATGATCATCTCTGTCTTGCTTATCTCCTAGAGACTTCTCTAAAAGAATAAAGTATGCATTGGGAAAAGGACTTTGAAGTATTGAAGGCAGTATGAGAATTAAAGTGTTTTTGTGGACACACTGTTTCCCCAGGTTAGAAAAACCCTGGATGCCACCATGCAGACCTTACAGGACATGCTGACGGTGGAGGACTTTGATGTCTCTGATGCCTTCCAACACAGCCGGTCCACAGAGTCAGTGAAGTCAGCCGCCTCGGAGACCTACATGAGCAAGATCAACATTGCCAAAAGAAGAGCCAACCAGCAGGAAACAGAGATGTTTTATTTTACAGTAAGTGGCATCCTGGTCCCAGAATCCAGCTAGTGTCTGCTGACTGCTTGGCTGTGACTTGGGAGCGGCCTGAGTGAGAATCTGCAAAATCGTGTGGATTGATCAGACCTAAGAACCTTTCAAAATGCTTTAACATAAATTTGCCTGGCTTGGTTTTCTGAAATGCAAAAAGTGAATTATCAGTGGGTAGCATTGGCATTGAGCTTGCGTGATGGTTATTGAAAATTTCCCGCTGTAGAAAAAAAATAAACAAAAAGTAAGTTTTATTCATTTGGGTGAGAGGAACTTGGCAAAGGGAACCAGGTACAAGCCCCGAGAAACAGTCCTAAAGTTATGTGCATGTGGTGTTGTGCTGAATTGTCTCAAATTTGGTTTAGGCTTTGGAAATCATATCTTTGGCAATATAAGAAAGTCGCTCATGAGTTGCTAGCCCCTCACATAAAATCCCATTTAGCTACTTTCCATTTGACCAGAGACACAGAGAAACAAGGAGACAGAGGATTGAAGCTTCAGTTCAACATAGATTTATTGGATATTGAATATCAGAGTTGAAGGAACCTGTCTTCCTTCTAATTTGTATCCTGGCCAGAAGGTCTTCCAAATTGATGAGTATTCCCAGGATGAAAAGCTTCCTCCCTCACAAAACAGCCCTTTAGTTTAGGGTTTAGCTGGCTTTGGATATGATAATGTTTTCATTTATCCTTGTTATCTTTAAAAATATGTGCACTGGGATTCCTGGCTATTGACCTCGACACGATTCTGTTCTCTGGAGGGTGATTGCCTATGACAGTGTTTCTGTGGGTGCAGGGAGCTGGGTTTTCTTTCCCCAGGCTAAATGCACTGATTCATTCTTGCCTTAAAAACTCTTACTTTGAGTAGCCTGGGGACTCCTAAACAGGTTCCATTTGTGGATGCCTCTTCTAAGGTGAGACTTACAGAGCTGGGCTGACCAGCACAGAATAGAGCAAAATTTTCACCCCTTCTATACAAGGAACTAACTCTCCTCCTCTTAAAGGCTCTGTAGGTGATGTCCTGGGTGGGTCTCATATCTGTTGCTACTTAGGTATCGTCTTGAGGGATGCATGTCATGGCATAACCAGTTTTGTCTTACACTGGGCTCTTGTCCTGATGGCGATGAGAGAGTGAGGCCTACAGGATGACAGTGGGGAATGAAACTGGGTGTGATTTATTAGAAAGAATAAAGGGCAAGCTCCCACTTGTCGGGAGGGGTTCCATAAGGAGGATGCCAAGGAAGTGTTTAAATCTAGAACCATATAGCTATCTCTTTGGCGTGCAAAATAGCAGAGGGTGTGCAGTGCTTGCCAGGTCTCTGGTGATTAGCAGACTTTATTACTTCTTTGTCCTTTGGATTCCAGGTTTCCAAGGCTTTTCCTAGTTTGCACAGGGACTTATCTTTCACAAGAGGCTTGTCTCAGCTTATCCGGGTCTCGGTCTTCAGTTTACTCAGTTTATTCAGACCCTTTATCCCAATCTGCTATTGTCCCTCTCTCTCCTGGTCTCAATGGTTCCATATTTTTGGAGTCCTAATCTAGTTGTTCAGCACTCATGATGTCTCTTCATATCTCCTGACAAGTGCATATTCAGTGACCATGGCCTCTATGCCTAAAGTTTGTCAATCCAAAAAAGGAATGTCTTAGGCCAATGCCTAAGACAGAGTTGTTAGAAGTATGTAACTGGCTGGTGTTGATCCATGCAACTAGCTTGGTGTTAACTTGGGTTCATTTCCTAAATCTATCCAATTCTGACATCCTCCTCCATCTCATGATTGGTCTCAACCTTGTTGAGAACCAATAGTTGACACATACTGCATTTCTGCCCTGGAATGCCATGAGCTCTGCCAAGGGCAAGAGATGAAGGGTCAAGAGATGAGGTCAAGAGATGAGGGATCCTGTGGGACAGGTATCTGTATGTTAAGTCTCCTCCTCTGGTGATGAGGCCTTTGGGCCTCTGCTCCACACTTGGAGAAACACCATGAGGCTGTTCTGCCCAAGGTTACACAAGTGACCACAGCTCTGGGCTCCTGTTTCCTTGTGGATAGAACAAACATGATGATGCTTTCCTCTTTTGTCGTCCAAGATGGTGGAGAGTCTCTACCATTCAAGTGTGAAAACAGCTGAGTGGTCTTGGAATATGAAGGGGAGTGATTCTTAATGACCAAGAGGTCAGGTCCTTATAGCTAAGAAGGAGCATGGGAAAGGAGACAGGAAAGGACACTACAATTTCCACCTTCCAGTCACTCCAGAACCCCCCAGAGGGCCAGCACCAGGCCCTGTGGTTTTACTTGTGTGTATGGGAGCCCCTGCCTGAGAGCCACTTCCCTGCCACTGCCCTCAGTGCGGGGATAGCACTGTCAGAGACCCTCCACTCAGGCCCAGCGTGTCAGGGCCTTCTGCACCTCTCTTCTCTGCCCGGTTGGAGTGTGCTGGGTGGGACAGGAGAGCTGATTGCTTTGTGAAAAACTGGCTGGCAGGTTCACAGTGGGCCCAACTGCTTTCTTGACTCCCTCCTGTGACCGATTCCTGCCTCCTCTGGTTTAGTTGTCTCCTTGGCAGTTCTGTCTTCGTAGATTCCCAGCCCATGATTCCTGCTACATTTCTGGGGCCTGGATTCAGCTGAACCCTCAGCTTGCAGCAGCCTGTTGGAGGTGAAGGGCCAGAGGGAGTAGGGACACTGATGCCTGTGTGGAAGCTTGGCCGGGCTCAGCATGGGCAGGCAGCTGCATCTCTGTCCTGGATGGTCTCTGATCCTCAGTGCTGAGTGGGGCAGGGACTGCAACCTGGAAGGTCCTGGCCCCTGTTGATGCTCCTTGGTGCCTCGGCCAAAGCACTTTCCCATGCCTGATTCCTGGCCTCATCCATACTGAAAGGAAAATCGGGTCACCCAATGTGGGTTTTGTTAATGTGCCAGGGTCTCAAGGTCCTTCAGAGTGGGGTCACATGAGAGAAAGGCTTGTTCCCTGGCTCTTCTCTGACAGATGCAAAACAGCTCTGCAGCCCCAGCAGCAGGCCCCCAGTATGCTCTCAGCTGTATTGTCTTGGCCCAGAAACACAGTGGAGCCTTGATGACCAAAGACACCCTTTTCTCTGTGCAGTCTGCAGCCCTTACCTGATAAGAACAGCCATCACAGCTCCATTCTGAGGGCTTCCTTTGTGTTCCCAGATGCCACCTGGCAGGCTCAGAGCCCCTGGACTGAGCAGCTGCTCACCAGATTGAGGAGCAGATGCCTTGGAGCCTCTCTGTTCCCTTTGCTGAGGGTGACCTGATCTCCTGTGGCCTTTCTGTCCCAGAGGTCAGTTCCAGAGGCAGAGCACCTGTTGCTTGGCCCCACCACATGTGAATTCCTGTGCCTTGTGTCTTACAGAAATTTAAAGAGTATGTAAACGGCAGTAACCTCATTACCAAGCTCCAGGCCAAGCATGACCTGCTCAAGCAGACTCTGGGCGAAGGTGAGTTGAAGGGTGGAGGCCCCAAGAGTTGCTGGCTCTCCCTCACTCCTGCTCTTGTCATGGCCCTAGGGCTGCTGCACTGTTTAAGCTCAAGACACTGAATGCTTTGCCCAGTGAGGCTGGTCCTGGACCCACTTCCAGGCTGAGCCGACCGGGAAGATGGCTGGGTACAGGTGTGGAGAGGGTACTAACTGGTTGTATTATAGACAACTGAGTTAGGTAGAAATATTACAGTCAGTCAGACAGGGCCATGCCCTCGAGAGAGTCAGGACAAAGGTGAAACATATCACAACCGTGGCTGGAGGCACATCTGTTGGAGGCCAGGCCTCAAGATAAAGACAAGATGACCAGGCCTGCATGCTTCCTCCAAAGACAAACCCTGAGCCTAATGAAGTCTAGATAGACATCAGCCACTCTGGTGGGTGACCAAGACCTCCGGACCCACCATTTCCTAGAAAAAGTCTTTGTTCTTTCCATGCACCCCTGTTACGTGACTTGTTTCCCCAATGGACCACTATTACCTGAGCGACTATACTTGTAACCTTATTGTTAATCATTCCTGTAACCCACGTTGTACCCAACATGGGTTTTGCGCTATAAAATTTTCCTATAAAGTGGGGTCTCCAGCTACCCATTCCGGCCTCCTCCTGCATCCCAGGAGCTATCCTCTCAATAAATATTTTCCTCCTCTTAACCTCTGTTGTTCCTAGAATTCATTCTTTGATTTTTAGAGAACTTGGCGTATCAGACATCTAACAGGTTGGGAGAATATTTTCTCCTGTATCAGCGGCAGAAACCTGAGAGAGCCACAGGCTTTGCTTAGGCCATGGGGAGGGTGCACAGCCGAGTGGTGGAGGGGCCCCATGATGTAGAGCTGCCTACTTGTGATACTGAAGTCACATTCCCTGGATTTTGAAAACTAGATGTTCTTACCAAAGACAAGATCCAGGATGTGTCCTGGGACTGGCAGGAGAAAGTGCTTCTCTCAGGTTCCTCTGCTAGTGCTATCAGGTGAAACCTTTTATTATTATTGTATTTGGCCAAATTACCTTAATGTAATAATAACAATGACAGTTTAGGTTGGCATAATTCCAGTCCATTTAACCCTCCAAGTTGATTTAGCCTTCAAGCACATCTTGCTTTGAGATGTGCTTTAGAAGTTGAAGCTGATTAGCAACAAAAGATCCAGGAGAATATAGCCTTGGAAGTACAGGAACAAGTAGGAAAGAGCCACCTGGGGTCTCTATAGTCCTGTCTACAAGCCGGCATGGAAAAGCCTTCCTTGGATAACTGCAGTGGGTCTTGGTAGATTGGTCAATTCTAGAGAAAATTTTAAAATGAACTTTTAATTTTAGACTACATTTAGAGAAAAGATAGTACTGAGTTCCTGTATACTACATACTTGGTTTTTCCTGTGTTAACAACTTAACATTAGTATGGTATACTTGTCACAATTTATGAGTATCATTATATTATTATGAACTAAAGCTATGAATGATTGAAAAAAACTGGAGCTGAATAAATTGGAATAAATCTCCATTTACTTTTGAATATTACTACATGATAAAAGCACACTATGGAATCTTAGGACACTGTGTGAAAGGAGGGAATTTGCAACCAGGAGAATTTGACTTAGATCGATCAAATTCTTGACCATTGGGTGAAAGGAGCATGGAAAAATTTAGCAGGCCAAAGAGGGCTCAGAGTCTTATTGAATTCACTTTTCTGAGGGTCCTGTCATAAATCACCCGTAACTGAGCATTTTGACTCTTCCATTTCATAAAAAGCTTTTCTAAGAGTAGGGTCAAAGTACAGTTATAACTGCATCGATAGCCCTTTTATGTCATCTGAGAGCTATTTTGTATGGGGATAAGTGAATTAAAAAATTTAAAAGCAGGAAACAAATATGGGGCCAAAGGAATATTTGGCTAAAAAGACACAGGCTTTTTCTTTAATGAAATGAAAGAACATGCCTAGTGCCTTGGTTTCTCTAAAATACTCATTTGACAGAATGGCTCAAAGAAACTACAAATTAGAGGAAGCACAAGGTCTTCTGGGTCACCTTTACTTGCAATGAATTTTTAAACATGATGGACCCCAAATGTACAAGTAAAAAATCTGCTAGGTGCCCAGAAAATTGGCATCCCTTGTTACAAATGATGCTACCAGCATGTCTTGGGAGCAAGAGCACACATCCTTATCTGCCCGTGACCAGATAATTCTGTTCGTTATACCTCTGGGTTTTATATCTATGACCTCTTCATGCTCTGGGGTGGGGTATTCTGTAAGCTTCAGGGTTTACTCCCAGGATTCCGGTGGTTTTTCAATTTGCTAAAGCCCCTTGAAAGTGAATCATGCATTGTCTATAAAAAGGATGGAACATAACCTTCTCAGGCCCAAGTTTAATAGCCCATTATAGAACAAAACAGCCAGGAGGACTAGACAATCTGACCTTCTAGAACATGACTGCAGTACCAACTATAAATTACATTTTTAAAATCCCAGGAGGTCTCAGAAAATTAAAGGTAAGGCGATTTCTGATTTCTGATGTCTGTTGGAAGTTGAGACACCATATTCTGAAATATATTGGTAATGGGTTCTTGAGAGTTAGAATGTGAGTGTAAAGCTGAAGACTAATATGATAGATTCTTTGCCAGAAGAAAGGATGCCTTGAGTGTGTCCTGACATGCCACAAGTCTGAAGCCCCATCGCCTTCTTCCTTCCTTGTCCCTGTCTGCATTTCCATATAGTTTGAGTAGGAGAAGGAAAATGTGTCAGTTAATGTCTTCATTCTAAGTACCACATCCCTACCTAGGGACCTGTCTTCTAAGGTGTGGTGTCTCTAAAGCTCAGAAGAAAGGGATGCTGTCAAAAGCCACATGCCACCTGCAGGGAGTCACTGAGCTTGAGGCACACCCCCTGGGGGTGTCTGTTCTTCCCTCACCCTTCCCAGACAATGCTCTGATTGGAAGTCAAACTGGACTGGAATCCAAACCATGTGATTTAGCAGGGCCTCAAGAAAGTCACTCCACCTGTTCAAGTCTCTGCTTCTGTTACTAGAGGGATGACACACTGTGCAGAAAAGTCCTGTGCCACATATCACACTAGTGCCTGATCTACTTATTGTCTATTATAATCGTTTGGTGTAGAACCTCTTGAAGGAAAACGGACTCATTCATACATTCACTCATTCAGCAAATTTATTGAGCACTTACTTTGTGCTGAATACCTTCCAAGACTATGGTATTATAGCAGTTTCAGGAGCAGATGGGCTTCCTTCTCTCATAAAATATAGTGTTCTTTAGTGGTGATAGATTCACATTAGACAAATAATATGAAAGAAATATTAATGATAAGTTGCATGTAGAAAGAAGTTAGAAAAAGGTGACATAAGGGGGAAAGCATTTGCTTTAGGCAGAAGAAGCTGTTCTCTGCACCCAGCTTTCTAGCTGAGATCCAAAAGGCAAGGAGGGGCCAGCCATGCACGGATCCCAGGCAAGAGCACTGCAGGTGGAAGATGCAAAGGCCAACTGGAGGACAATGTGGAAGGCATCTGTGTCTGGAGCCTCGTGCTCAGAGAAGTCCAAATAGATGGAGTAGTTCAGGGGCCTACTCCCATCTCCAAGGCTTAGAAAACAGAGAGTCTTGGGTTTTATCCTGTGAATGACCAGAGGTCACCAGAGGGTCCTAAGCAAGGGGACAGCATGATAGGAGTCACCGTTTACAGACATTTTGACTGATGAGTGCAGGATAGATTGTAGTGGAATGGAAAAACCAGTTAAAAGGGACATGGTCCAGGCTGAAGATGATGGAGTCCTGGACTGAGAAGGTCGTGTTGAGATGCAGGAAAATGAGTAAATTTGTTAAGAATGAAGGAGAATTTCCAAGGATAATTCCCTTGAACAACTTGGTTGGTGGGGATGCAGGTATTGAGATGCTGAGGCTGTAGGGAGGAGTAGGTCTGGGGCCATCTGAGGTGGATACCAAGGAGCCATTGGTGGTGAGAGGACAGGAAAAACATGGTCCATCCATGCAGCCCAGCTATTCCAGACACGCTCTGTGAGTGAACCTCAGAAGCACCATGCTCAGAGAAGGAGCCAGATGCAGAAGACCCCACATAGGGTGATTCTCTTCACATGAAACATCTAGACCTGTGGCTTTTGTGCCACAGCTATCACTGAAAGTTCTAAAAGGTCTGCCATCACTTGTCTAAACAACTGCAGAGACAGTGAGTGAGCAGTTTCCAGGCCAGGAGGTTAGAATGTGGAGTCAGGTAAGTGAGTACCAGGGATCTTTTTGCTGTTTTATATTTGAGAAAAGATGAATGTATTCTGAATTTTTTTAAAAAGCCAATTAAACATCAACATGTACTTTTTGTTTTTTCTCACCAGGGGAAAGAGCAGAATGTGGCACCACCAGGTGAGAGCTGGAGAATCTTTTTTGTTTTACCCCGGCTGCCTGGGGTGGGAGCAGGATGGGATGGGGTGGGTGCAGCCTGCAGGAGCTGGGGGCCAGGACAGTGGGTGGCGCAGGAGGGAAAGCACAGTCCCTGGCCCAGTTCTTGCTGACCTGCACTGGCCTGGCAAGGCCACAACCCTCCAGGTGGGAGTGGGCATCATCAGAACTGGGGGGAGGGGGCAGCGGGGCCTTTTTCCTCTGAGCTGCCCAAGGGGTGGGACAGTAATCCCTCTAGGGAGGCTGGGATGGCCAGGAGAGGCCAGAGGCTGTCGGGTGGCTGCTGACCCCTTTGTCAGTGTGCAGCAGGCGCAGAACCTGCCCGGGGCCCTGGGCCCAGGCTTTGGGGTTGGCTGGCATTGCCGCAGCTGGGCTTATGCATGTGCACACCGCAGCCACGTGCCCAGGCACCATATTGTCCACACAGGCTTGGACCTCATGGGGCGCTTGATGGGCTGACAGGGAGAGTAACCCATGGGCAACCTCTGCTTTCTCTCCAGCTTGTTCAACATTATCCTTTGTGCTTTTCTCTGAGCAGACCAGAGCCAGTGCACACTTTCCCACTCAGCAGCTGAGCTGGCTTGCCTCACCTTCAGAGTTTTGCTCTGTGAGCAGCTCTGTCATACCCAGGTTGCTCCTTAGAGCTATCTATTCCTGAGCCCCCAGCAAGAGCTACTGCACTATCCATCGGGAATTCAGCTTGGGTCACTTTGCCAACCACATGTGATGCTGAGAGCTACTCTGCCTCGCTTTATGAGCCCAGGGACCAGATATCATTCTTTCCTTCCCCACAAATTCTTCCCAGTGGCCCAGAATCCTGGAAAGCTGTTCTACTTGGCAAGAGCCTCGATGAGCCCTGAACTCTCTTACCTCCTCAGGAAGGCAGCAGGCGGGGCGGAGGCTTGGAGAGCTCTGGACCCAGGGACTCAGGGCCTTTCAGAAGCTCAGCCTGCACAGCTGTTGCTCTGGCCCCAGGCAATGTGGGAGCAGGAGGATGAGTCAGACCAGGCCAGGACCTTCCCACATAGAGGGCAGCAGATGTGCAGGGTCACTTTCGAAGAACCTCTCAGAAACAAGCGTATTAATATTCTGACAGGAGGATGTTGTTAAAGCCCCCAAACAACACAAGCCATATTTTGCACCAGAGCCTGCAAATAATGAAACAGATGGGGAATGAACTGAGTCATCTCTTGCTTCCTCCTAATTCCTAGGACTCACGCAGGAGACTGCTTGTTCCAGCAGACTACAGAAGGGGAGCTGTGTGATCAAACCATTGGCCAGGCCTCAGGCTCCTCCTTTAGTGGGAAGTTGAGGGGATGTTTTGTTTTGTTTTTAAAGAAAGCCCCCTGAGATTCTGTCTTCCATACCCTCTTTGACTGAGGGTCTGGGAAATTCAAACTAAGATTAGCAGACTTCCGCTTAGATATCCTACCCTAAACCACAGAGCTAGCTAGTGCCCTGTGGCCCTTGGCCAAGGTAAAAGGCGACTTTGTTAGTAAACTGAAAGCTTTTCCTCAGGTTCATAATCATTGACTTGTGGAACTCGAAGGCAGCTTGAGAGTGATTTTAGAATTAATCTTAAAGGGTGAAATAGCTCTCAGTATCTTCATAAACCCCTGTACATGGCCAATACCACTGGGATGGTCATTTGAAAAGGTTCCCTCAGACAAGTTGCTGTTGATCTTGTACAGTATAGGTGGACTAGTTTTTGCACATGAACTACAATATATTTTCTCACTTAAGAAACTTATCTTAGAATAGCCCAAATTCATAGTAACCCCATAATTTAGTCTGGCCAGGTATGAACTAATACACTTTAAAAGTGCATAATGAATGGCAAAGCACGATGTAAATGTAAGGTTTTAATTATTATGATTCAGAGAAAGTCTGGCTACCCTAACCCCGATTGGCACACACACCCCCATGGTCTGGATTAGAGGCGAAACACTTGACATTGTGTCTGACCAGATGCAACTTGGTGTGCACCCACATGAAGGCTCCAAGAGGCCTACCACCATCAGACCTCAGTGTTGCCCCATTTTGGATATTGACACCCATGTCTATTGGCTTGTCTAGGGAATTTTTTTTTATTTATGGGAAATTCTTAATCACATCCTTTTTGACACAGAATGACTTTGAGGCCCATTCCTATGTTGCCAACATATATTAATTTTCATCTTGGTTGAAAGGCAGAAAAGGGACATTGGTCTCTGGTTTCTCTTTCTTCCTCTCTGTGGCTCTCTGTTCCTGTTTTCCCTGCCTCTCTCTCTTTCTCTCTTTTTCTTTCCTTTTTGCTCTGCAACTGAGCAGCAGACGAGATGGAAGGCTTAGGCTGCCCCACTTCCCTTGGCTGAGCTGTCCCCCTGCTCCCCACTTCCTGCCCCACCCAGCACTTCAGTAAGTTGATACAGATTTGATGTCATGCGAAGTTGGGATAGCTACGTTTCCTTGTCAGAAACTTCACACAAAGAAAGAAATCCTGGTGGGATCCAACCAGCCCTTTGCTTTCTGGATTGGGCAGGAAAAAGGGGGAAACATATCCTATTTTCCTTTTTATTCCACTTTGTAAATTTATATTTAAAAGCCTCAGGACTTCTTTTAAGAAAACCATCTGGCTGGACACTCTAGAGTTTTTGACACTGGGTGTCCTGTGTCCCTACCATGTCTGCACTCTTGCCGGCTGTGAGTTTAGTAGATAATTTTATGCTATTGCTGGTTGTTCTGAATCATTTTTTTTCAATTTCACACTCACACTGGAGCCTGGCATAGGTTGAGCTGCATTCCACTCTAACCTCAGTCACATTTTATTTGTGTGACCTCGAGCGAATGGGTGAGTTTCCTCATCTCACATGAGTTCATTTTCCTTATGCATAATAGGTTTAATAATTCCTCCCCCCCTCCCTCCGTGATTGTGAGGAGGTCCTGCAATGTGAGATCAGGAAGCCATCTGAGAACCCAAAACACTATGAAAACAGAGCGAGAGTTTTGGTATCCTTGAGTTATTCCTGATCCCCAAATTTAAAAGGCCTTGGGTCCTATTTTTGGCACACTCTTTTACATTTGGAAATTAAAAACAGGTCCATTGTAAGAAATCTCATTCCTCCCTATATACACATATCCTTAAACAATAAGTTATTTATGAAAAAGAAATGACATGGACTTAGCTAACCAAATTGACATAGATCCAAGATGGCCTTGGAAATAATCTTGCCTGTTGCTTCTTTTCAGAATTTTGGTCTGTCTGTGCTGTTGTTTTGGTTCCAGTATTTGGGTGGCATGCTCTTTGGACTCTGCTGTCTCTGCCTATGCATGTGCTGGAGCCAGCAGCATTTGCTCAGTACTCAGACACCGAGGAGCTACATGCAGTTCCCTGGACGGCTGGGCTGCTGAAGGAGACAGGTGCACACCTGCAGGAGAGGTGGCACAAACCCTATTGATTCGGGCTGGTTTGCTCTCCATAAGACATTGTGCCCATTCACAGGAATTAATAGTGACTTGGGGGAATAAGCCTCTGCTTGTCATGTGTGGCTGAACAGGCCTGTGCCTGGCTGAATTCCCATTTATTTCTTCCCAAACTTTGAACCAATCCATTAGAAAATGAATTGCCCCTCTCAGGTAGGGGCCTCCTCCTAATCTCAAAAAGCCCTTTGTCCAGGAAATGTGGCAGCACTGATTCAAGTGAATCTAGGTGTTGAGATGAGCAATTAGGCCAACACAGGCATATGCAAGGTGAGCAGTCCTGGAAGCAGGTCTAGTGTTTGTGGCTGTTTTATTGTTCCTGGAAAACTGTGCTGTATTTTCCCCTCCCTGTGACAAGAACAGAGCACAGGGAGTGGAGATCCTAAAGTAAAGCAAGACACTTTCAACCGGAGCCCATGGCAAGGATTAATGGGAGTAGATGAGTTCTTGGCTGGAAGTGACAAGGTGCCCTAAGGCTCCATGACTGTGACCTGGTAGGGAAAACCCTGGACTCAGAGCTAGAAAGGCCTGGGTTTAGGCCTGGCTCTTTCTATGCCTCAGTTTCTAGCTCTGTAAAATGTAACAATATGCTGGCATGATATTACGTGTGGTAATGGATTTTAAAGTGCTTTAACTAAAAGCGCATTTGACTAAAGAACAGAATATCATCATCATCATCCTGAGTTACCTGATTACTCCAAAGAAGCTGCAGCCTGCCTCCTGGCATCAGTTTCTTCATCTCTGAAATAAGACTAGTAATTGCCTAGTTCCCAGACCAATGAAGTAAAGATTAGTCAAGTGCATTTGAAATATAAAGAGGAATATATTAGGAAGATGAGTGGCCAGCTACACTGGGAGTTGAGACTTGGTAATGAATTTAAGTCGAACATAGTGAAAATCAACCCTCCTGGTCACTTTTGAAAGTGTCTTGCTTTCTTGGGCAACTAAGTCTATCTCTCTCCCTTGCTCCTGCTCCATCTGGTCAGCTTTGTAGGATGACAGCATTGGATTGGAGTCTCATGATTTCTTAGACATGTACTGTCTCCCCCCACCCTACAATTTAGAATGCATTTGTGTTACATGAGAGTTGCTCCTGCTTGGCACTGTGGGTAAATTCAAATCTCCTGAAACATCCAAAGGCCTTCAGATGGAACATTGGGAAACAATGTGTGGAGGCCAGGGGCTTCGATTTGCATTTTCTGTTTTCTTCCAGGTGTGGGTTTTAAGAGCATCTCTCCCAGTTGTATGTTTATGTTGGTTGCTTTCTTGATTTTTTTGTTCCGTTTTCCCCTAGGCCCCCCTGTCTTCCCCCTAAACCACAGAAAATGAGGAGACCTAGGCCTCTTTCAGTGTATAGCCATAAACTCTTTAACGGCAGTATGGAAGCGTTCATTAAGGTACTTGCTGGGGAGCCATGGAGTCCGTGAATGTGCCCAATGTAATGGCAGCCTCTCTCCCTTCCCCTCCCCTCCAGCTGACAGCCATGCCCCAGCCAGAGTGGATGCTCCATTCCCTCTGCCAGCCCAGTGAAGCTCGCTCCTCACTGTAGCTTGCTCTTAGCTTCAGTGAGAATTTTCAATCAGAGCAGCTTTGATCATTGGCCCCTAAGTGAAGCTCATGTTTCTTAGGCCCAGGGGGAGGGTTCTGGTCACAAAGTCTGAGTGGAGTGGAGACACCAGCACAGTGGTCCCAGCCAGCCATGCCTCGCTGTTTCCAGACCTGCAGTCCTAGTGTCTGGGGGAGTCAGAAGCTCCTCATGCTCTCACTTCACACCCGTCTCTCTCGAGAGGATACTGAGCTGAAAGCCACCCGAGGAAATCCCTGCAGGGAACATGTGGTTTCTATGTGAGTGAATTACTACTTTGCTTAGTTACATACATTTCAGCATAGAGAACACATTCAATTTATATGACAGAAACATCCTGCTTGGTTTTGCTTCTTGTTAGGTGGTTTAGGAGATGGGAGAAGAGCTGAGGAAGTTCCCATAGAATTACGGGTTAGCCATTTACCCCTTAGACTTAAGATTAAAGTATTTCAGTCAGGTGAGTTTCTCTTTTCATTGTCTCTGATGTGAAGGGTATAAGGCCAGGGTATGCTAGATAGATCGGCTCAAGATAAAGCAAGATGGTGATGCAGTTGCAAGAGCAACAGGTAGGGGACTGCAGGAAGAGGAGACTCATTCTTAACATTGCTCAGAGGGTTTGTGAGAGTCCTTGCCAGTTATCTGTGTGCCCACCACCAGCCAATGAAGACACCAAGAAAAAGAAGACTGGTCCCAGTTAGAAGACAAGTCCTGACACTGTTGATGCTTTGGAGTCATAGAGGCTGCCCCGGCACCAGCTCTCTATCTTCTGTCCTCAGATGCAGTGTAACATAGGACTTGCAGGACAGGGAAGGACTGGATATGGGTCAGCCTCAGGCATGAGAAGGGGCAGGTAGGACCATCCTGGGTCCAGGACTGTCTGCCTGTGACAGGCTGAGTTCTGGGGAAGAGAGAGCAGTGGAAACAGAAGGCAGAAGAGCAAAGCTCAAGTTGGAAATGCCCAGGAGCTGGGAACAGCGAGGCTGCTTTAGAATACTGGTAGTGGTTTACAATAGGTAGTGCCTTAAAGGAGCCCCATGGAGGGGCGCGGGATAAAGAGGAGCCAGAGAGAGTGGTTTATCATTCTGCAGCTGTGGCACGGCAGGCTCTCTCTTTCTTTTCACTCACCTGTAGCCCTGAAGGAGCCAGTGTGCTTAGCAGAGAGATGCTAGCTGCTAACTCTGGCCCTCAAGAAGCCTAGGGCAGAGCCCAGGAGGTCTCTAACAGAGAAGCAGGTAGTGTAGGCAGGCAAGTTTTGTACCAGGCAGATTGTCCCCATAGAGGCAAGTTCTCCAAGAGTTCAGGTTGCACCGCATCTGAGGATAGAGGATAGAGAGCTGGTGCAGGGGCAGCCTCTGTGACTCCAAAACCATCAGCAATGTCAGGACTTGTCTTCTAACTGATACAAGTCTTCTTTTCCATGGTGTGTGTCTTCACTGGCTGGTGGTGGGCAAGCAGATAACTGGCAAGGACTCTTTCAAACCTTCTGAGCCATGTTAAGAATGAGTTGCTCTGGCAGCTCCATCACCATCTTACTTTATCTCGAGCTGGGGCCAGGACTCCTTGGGAGGGACTGAGAAGGAGAACACACCAAGAAGTGCAGGGCAGAAGGAAGCCTTGCAAGGAAGAATGAAGGGGGCAAAGGCTCAGAGACAGAGGTGCTGTCCCAACTCATTCCCGTATTTGGAAGTGGTGATCAGTCAGGACCTGGAAGGAACTAACTCTAACTTGAAATATTTGAAAATCAAGTGTTTTGTGGAATTAAGCATTCTCTCAATAGAAAGTCCTGCATACACAGTGTGATTATAAAGTAAGCTATCTTTTCCTCACTCATCAACTATCAGAGTGTCTTCAGGCACAGGAGCTCAGCTGTGCTGAGGGAGCTGCCTCGAGAAGCCTCTTGATTCTGAATCCATCACCATGGTGGCAGCTACTCTTCGGCCAGTCTCCCCCAGAGCCTCTTGCATGGCCTTTGTCATCAGTGCCAACCAGTGTCAACTTTGTGTGCGAACGGGCACCCCGGTCTTTGGAATAAAACGCTCTATCCAAAGCTTGGCCTTGTGGCACCATTGAAGGCACAAGAGGACAAGAGGAACCAACTACAGGGGCACTGGGTGACAGGCTCTGAAAAGAACCCCAGAAAAGGGGCAGCCCAGGGCACCTGAGCAGCAGCGGTGAGGCTGGAGTCCGGGCACAGCCTCAGGAGAGGACAGACCAGAGAGGGACTGTGACGAGGCTGGGACAGAGACAGTGACTTGCTAAACCGTGTCACATTCTTCATAGCTACTCTGTGCTGCCAGAGAAGTGTAACAGCCATGTGCTGTGTCTCCAGGTGCACAAGGTGGCAGGCAGCACAGATTCACTCCGAGGGATCCTCAATGCTCAGGGAATGGGAAGGCAGCATGATATATTCACGCCCTCAACTGTGGAGAGCAGAGCTTAATATTCCACTCTGATTCACATGCTGTCTGAGAGAACACTGAACCTGGAATTCCTAGCTTTGAAAAACCACACCTGTGAAGTTTTTCCGTGAAATGATGATCCTGGAACTCCATAATCATGCTGGTTCAGCAGGACCAGGAAGCATTCTAAAATTAATAACAATGGATGCATGTTACTGGAGTTAGATTTATAAATTTCTCAGACTCTGGAGTCATCCTGAATCAGCCACTTGCAAAATCCTTGATATTTTTCTCCTGTCAGACAGGAGAAAATGGAGAATAAAAATGGAGACCCCATTTTTATTCTAAGGGTCAATTTTGAAGTTCAGGAGGCTACCTCTGGGGCAGAAAACATTCCCCATCTTGCTCTATAAAATGAGAATTGGAATTACCTACTCCATGAGTTGGCTCTGAGAAGAAGATGGGCACATGTGCCATGTGTCTAGAGCCATGGGCAGTGCACAGTGGGTACTGTGTGAGTCCTGCCTTGTGCCGTGTTCAGGAACCCTGGGATTCTTGCTCCTTAAGCCTACATGGCAGGCTCTCTGCTGGGTTCTAGGTCTCAGTGGGATTAGCGCATATGTTGGTGAGCAGGGCATCCCGGGGTGGGACTCAGAGAAGTGGACAGTGGCTCCAACCAAAAGGCACACATGCTCCTGCTTCTCTACTCTGCCTCAGAAGGCCTGGATGAGACACAGCTCCCTGCCCAGAAAGTGGTTTACTGCCTGCACAATAAAGGGCAGACAGACCCTCTGCACATGGCCACTTTGGTGGCTTTCCATGAAGGCAGAGGCTCCGGTTCCACCCCGAGGCCATGAAGGTGCTCTGAGCCCCCTACCCCTAGGCCCTTCCCAGCTTCTGTGTCTCCAGTGAGGCTCCTGGCCTGGTGAGGGACAGGGATAGGAAGGCAAGCAAGGCCAAGTGGAGCCCCAGGAAGAGCTGCCTGGGTGTTGGTGGGGAGAACACTGGGAACTATGTGGGATTTGGAGTTGGGCGGAATCCTGGCCCTGTCCAGAGGGCACCTGAGAACCATGGGTATATAGAATGAACTTGTCCCCGAACATGGGGCTTCCTGGGCAGAATGCCAGGGACAGTGTTACGAGTAACTCAGAATGTCTCCCTTCTTCCATGGGTACCTGGGCTTACTTAGGAGCCCTCCTGGATGGAGGGTCACCACTCTTGTGTTTTGGAGCAGCTAGAGGTGGAGATAGGGCCATTGCAGTGCACACAGCCACTCACTTTGACAAGATCTGCCAGGGCCCCCGTTGCTGGATGGTGCAGCCCTGAGGTCCTGTGAGGCCAAGCTCAGGGTAGCCCTCCCTGTGGGCAGGCCCCTCGCCAGGCTCCCCAGACCTTTGCTGGCTGCCATTGCATCTCGGCATTCACGGACTCTGATGGATCTGCTTACTCTAACTGATCTTATTCCTGCATAATCTCTTTTTTTTTCCTGCTCTGCTGCCTGTTTATTTTTTGTTATCAGAGGAAGAAGAAATGCTCGAACCAGGAACCAGGTATTTACTAGAAAGGCCCATAAGCCCCATGCAGCTGGATGGAGCCTGTCTTTAGATCTGACTCTCAGAGCAGGCAACTTTGCCTGTTGCCCATGGGCCCATCTCCTCTCCTCTTGCCAGCCTCAGTTAGGCAAGGACAGAATTTCCAGGTGGGGTGTGGATGAGCCAAGGGCATCCCCAAATCTTTGCTGGCTTGCAGAAGTATATTACAAATGTCTCATTGTTTTCTCACCTTCAAAAGAAGCTAGTAATTTAATTCAGCTCTTTTAAGAAAGTTTAGCCAGACATAATGGTGCATGCCTAAAATCCCAGCTACTTGGGAGACTGAGGAAGGAGAATTGTGAGTTCAAGGCCAGGCTAGGCAATTTAGTGAGATTCTGTCTCAAAATTTAAAAAAAAAATTATAAAAAGAAAAAGAAGCTAGGCATTGTGGTCCATGCCTGTAATCCCAGCACTCTGAGAGGCTGAAGCAGGAGGATTGCAAATTCAAATTCCACCCAAGCAATTTAATTATTTAGCAAGATATTGGCTCAAAATTAAAAAATAAAAAAATTGCTGGGGATATAGTTCAATGTGAAGGTCCAGAGTTCAATCCCTAGTACTGAAAACGGGTGCAGGTGGGATGGGGAGGTTGCTCAGCGGTGGAGTACTTGCCTAGCATGCTCAATACCCTGGATTCAGTCCATAGTACAAAAACAAAGTTTAACACAGACTTCATTTTATGTTATTTAAGTGACTAAAATAATAGAGAGGGCAACCAGTCCTGGAATACAAAAGGAAATTGCCCTCAGCCACAGGTGTTTACTGGCCAGAAAAGTATTATCTGGATAGCTAGGCTGTAACAGCATAGGCAGAAGTAGTCTTCCCCTTTGCAAGGTCAAAGGGCCATAAGGGCCCACCCTGCTTCTCTGGTGTGTTCCTCTTAACCCTGGCTTCAGGTGCCATTGGAATGGGATGAGGCCCCAATCTTGCCTTTGCATCTCCATGCACTGAGGAAGAGCGCTGAGCTGGGGCAAAGTGGCATGGGAGGCAGAGCAGTCTTCAAGGTCAGACTGCAGCCTTCCACAGCACTGGGTCCCCTCCCTAGCCTGACATACCCATCAGCCTCCCGCTCCCAGGGTCCTCGCCAGCTGGCTAGGAAGACAGAGCATTTCTTTAAAATGATCACAGCTATGCCTTCTTCTGCATTTAGCTAAAGACCCTGTACTGTACCTATTTATATAGTCTTTAAGATTACCAATTCCTTGCTTGTTTTCCTACTAATATGATGGTACTAGCATTCTGGCTTGACACGATAATCTGTATTTGCAATGTCTTTTTCCTGTGGTGGTTGCCAAGCCCAATAAAACTCACATTTTTTTTTCCTTCTTAAGGATTCAGGACAAGCTATTCCACTTGTAGTTGAGAGCTGCATCCGATACATCAATTTATACGGTAAGCTCAATATGGGGTCCCTGTCTTCAGCTCTGCCAAGCAGGTGCAGGGCAGTTTTGTAGGAAATGAGAGTCCCATTCATTGTGGAAGGTTTCCTGTCACTGCTGTGCTTCCGAGGGTAGGGAGGGTGCTCCAGGGAACAGCTGTTGTTCTGGGTGCTGTCTTTACAGCCTATGTGTCGGGTGGAGGGGATGGAAGGCAGTGGTGAGAAACCCAGGACCTAGGTCAAGGGAAGGCATGGGAAGGACTATGTCTGTCCCTTCCTCACCCCATCTGTCCCCAAAAGCAGTCAATCACTTAACAATAGTAGGTTGGAAGCTCCTTGAAGGAAAAAGTGTCTGGGATTTGTTAACCATGGTATCACCAAAAGATAATTAATACTTATCCACTTATTCATTCCTCCAAAAATGTATTTGTTGAGTGTATGACAGGCACTATTTTGGACAATGGGAATTCAGGTGTGAATAACACAAGTACAACACCTGTTCTGAGTGGTTGAAATTCCGTTAAAAGGCAAGGAAATAGACAAACAGAAAAATAACCAAGTCATCCCTCAGAATGCATGGGGTTTGGTGCCAGGACCCTTGAAAATCCCTAAACCCACAAATGTTCAAGTCCCTTATGACCTCCACACACCCCCTATAGACCCTAAGTTATATCTAGCTGATTTAAAATACTCGATACCACAACAATGGCATGTGAGCAGTTGTTAGCCTGCACTATCTGGGGAAGGATGAGAAAGAGTCTGAACGCATTCAGTACACAGCCAATTTCCTTTCCTGAGTGTATTCAGTGTGCCATTGGCTGAATCCACAGATGCAGAAGGCTGACTGAGTAATTACAGGTGTTGGTAATAGAGTGACACTCACTGAAAGGAGATAGACAATGGCTCTGAGAGGGCAGGGTGGGAAGAGACCTCCGGGAGTGATATGAGTAGAGGCAGACAGGTGCAGTCCAAGAGAGAACAGAGAATGGTGAGCAGGGAGGAAGGCCTGGAGGGGGAGGCAGGGCAGCATGGCTGAGCAGGAGGACATTCCATATGGTTTGACTAAAGAAATGAATAGCGTTCATTAGCTGCGGTTTTAACTGAGTGCTGACTTTCAGGAGCAAGTACTTCCTAACGTAACAGAAACTGAGGGACAGGCTTCCAGGATCCCCATTAGATCCCTTTTCCATGAGGCAGCCCTTTGTCTCCTCCAGCTATGCTCGTTACTATGGGCTCAGTATCGGGGCCCCCTCTGTTATGGCTCTGTAGAAACATTTTTAAAAGTGAGATTGTTTTCCTTTCATAATTTAATCCTCCCCAAAGTCCTTGATTCTCATGCCTGACTGCACTCAAGTCTGGCTTTTTTCAAAAAGAAGACAGTGCCTACATGGTGGGAAGGAATAGTGTTGATATACAAGGTGTGATCACAAAATACCATAAATGTTTAAATTTTTAAAACAATTTATTATAGTAAGAGACTGTGCCATTAATTCCTCTCCACATACTCCTCTTTGCTTTGGACACACTTAATCTCATCTTTCTTGCCACTTTCTGAAGCAACTTTGGAAGTCCCCTTTCATGTCTTTAGTTGCCCTGTTGTGGTCACCTGTGTCTTGAATGAATTCAAAATCTTTACCTTTGGTGGTCATTTTGACTGTGGGGAAGAATCAGAAGTCACATGGTGCCAGATCTGGTGGAAGGTGGATCTGGAACTATCTTGTTTTCATTTGACAGAAATTTCCATAAACATTTGATCAGTGAGGGGTGTTCTAAGAATAACGTGAATATCTAAATAAAAAATTTATTACAGTAAAAGACACATTGTCATTGATCCTTCTCAAAATGGCAAAATGCTCCCCTCACTTTGAACATAATTATCTCATCATTCTTACCAATCTGTCCCTTACTGTAATAAGTTTTTAAATTTTAATTTAAGCATTTATTTTATTTTTCGATTGCCCCTTGTAAATACCTTGCAGCTTTCCCCTTCAAGCTCAAGCAGGGGATCCCAGACCTGACCTGTAAATTAAGATGTGCCGAGTATTTTGCTCAGCTGGTATGCACTGTGAAGACCATTTTTGGGCTCCTGCCAGGAGCCCTTCATTGGGAACAACTCAATTATAAAGGATGGAGGGAGAAAGAGACAGGCCAGGGTAAGCCACTGATACTCCCAGTGGTCTGATGAGTTAAGGTCTCATGTCATTTATGGTGTTCTTTGTTTCTTCCTTAGGACTTCAGCAGCAGGGGATCTTCAGAGTCCCAGGATCTCAGGTCGAAGTCAATGACATCAAAAATTCCTTTGAGAGAGGTGAGTGCACAGTGACTGTCTCAAGTTTGTGACCAGGGAAGCAAGAGTGGGTGTTAGTGCATGTTTTGGGGGCCAGTGGTGTGTAAGAGCCCTCAGCTTGCCTGAGTTTGCAAGAGCTGGTTGTGCATATCTCTTCCCTACTTGGAATTCTGGGATTTTACCCTGGTAGCTTGAAATCAGCCAAGGCTGGAGTGTTTATGTTGCAGAAACGGGAAAATACCAAGATCTTTGTGTTCCCTTCTATGTCAGTCACTTTCCTCATTGCTGGGACAGAATACCCAACACTGACAACTTAAAGATCCAAGAATGAGTTTCCAGCTCTTCTCTTCCTCTTTGCCAGACCTACACAAGTGTCCAGGGCTGTTTGGGAGGGGAGAAGAAGCCCACTGTGTACCTCTGGAGGCTTTAGACCACTCGCTGCTCCCTTCCCTCCCCATTGGACACTCCCATAGGTGAACAGGCTCAGCATCCTCTGGCTGAATTGAAGAGTGCTCTTCCCCTGAGATTCCATTTTTCATTTCTAGTTGGCAATACTTTAAAAGACTGACAACATGCCCTAGGTGGCTGTGCCAAACAGCATTTCATGATGAGGCTGTTAGTAGCCGGATAACATGGTGCATCCCAGGGCAGCAGGGTGTGGCTGTCTCTGTCTGATAAAACCATACATGGAATCAGGTGTGGTGGCATATGGTTGTAATCCCAGCACTCAGGAGGCTGAGACAGGAGGATCACCATGAGTTTGAGGGCATAATGCGTTCAAGGCCAGCCTGAGCTCCATGGCAAGACCCTGTCTCAAAAAATAAAATAAAGTCCCTGTAGTTTCTTTAAACATGTATGCATGCATGCATTCACACACATACTTTACCCAGCAACCCAGAGATTCCATTGCTAGGACCCAACCACAGATCCGTGTGTGTTGCCACAGAGCAGGACGCACTATGGCAGTGCTTACAAGGGTGGAGCCATCAGAGATGGGCTGAGTGAATTATAGGCTGTCCATGAAATAGATTTTGCAGCCATTAAAAAGGAGGCAGATCTCTGTGAACTAATATATTCATGGTTCATTTATTCACGTTAGTTCATTTTCTTGTTAAATGAAGAGGCAAGTTTATGTACAAGTATATTATATTTTATATAAGAAATATGAGAAATAACAAAAACCCTATGTAGGTTCCTTGGTATCTGTGAAGGATGGGTTTGAGGACCCAATACCACCACAAGATACCCAAATCTCTGGGTGCTTAAGTCCCTTATAAAAAATGGTGTAGTATTTACATAGAATCTGTACACTTCTCCCATATACTTCATTTTTGAAGATAAAATAAAAAAAATTTATATTATAATTCTAAACTGATCTAACATAATGTTCATCATAATAGCATAATAATAATTGTTCATAAAAATAGCAATAATGTTTCAATTATGTGTGCATATGGGTACTTTTTACACATCTGTACCTGTGTATGTGTTCTCATATATAAGTGAAATGAAAGATAGCAGTGATAAAAGAGATGGGAGAGAGGAGTTCTCATTGTTTTATTATAAATTACACTATCCATTAAGTAGTATAGTGATAGTATGAGTGTAGATGAGTTCTAAATGCATGTTGTCAAACTCTAAGGTAACCACAAAAGATGAAATATAACTGATATGCTAAGGAAAGAGACATATCAAAATATGAAATGCTCAACTCAAAACCACAGTAGGAAGGGAAAGAAGACAAAAACAGGAACAAAGAACAACAACAATAAGTAGAAAAGAGTAACAAATATTGTAGCTTAATGCGACTATGTGAGTAATCACCTTGAGTGTCAGTAGTACAAATGCAGGAATTAAAAGATAGCAATGGTCAGAGTGGGTGTAAAAAGAAGACTCAACTCTGTTGTCTACAATAAACCCACTTTGAAAATAAGGACACCTATTGTTTAAAGGTCCCAATTGCTTATAACAATGCAATGGCAATGCTGTGTAAATAGTTCTTATACTCTGTTTAGGGAGTTATGACAAGAAAAAAGTCTATAATGGTCAATACAAAGGCAACTTTTTCTTTGGAATATTTTCCATCTGCTGTTGGTCTATCAACAGATGCTGAACTTGGAGAAGGAAACACAGGGAACAAACCCAAAACTAATGAGAGTGGCTGCATGTGAGGTGTGGAGGGAGAAGAATGAGAGTATGCTTCCTCTCAGAGCAACTTTCTGTCTGGTTTTGCCTTTCAGACTATGCAAATGCTTTATATTTCCAAAACTCTAAGCTTAAAGGAGGATCTCTAAAGAAAATTCAATCCCTATAATTGAGTACAAATAGAAATAAGGTAACTGTATCAAATTGATAAGCACAGAGAGTAACTTTTGAACATGGACTGAGAGTCTACATTTTTAACAACTTTATTGAGTTCCATACTGTAGGTTCCCCCATTTTAAGCTATACATTTCAATGGTTTCTAGTAGATTTACAGGTTGTGCAGTCATCATTGTAATACAATGTCATATTTTTCTTTTTTTACCACCCCTGAAAGAAGCTTGGACCCATATGCAGCCATTTCCTGTATTGCCCCACACCTTGGCCCCCAAGCCTATATGCACTGCTGATCTACTTTCTGTTTTTGGTGTGGTGCTTCTTGGTGTTCTTTGTGGAACTGGGCATTGGACCCAGGGCCTTCACACTGAGCTACATCACAAACCCATTTTTTATTTTTTATTTTGCGGCAGGGTCTCACTAAGTGACTAAGTGGCCCAGGTTTATCTCAAACTTGTGATCCTGAACCCTCAGCCTCCCAGAGTGCTGGGATTACAGGAACCTTACCCACCCAACGTACTTTCCATCTTCTAACCACACCTCTTTAGCAGGATACAGTCTAATTAATGAAAACTAAATGAAAACAAAACTAAAAGCTCCTGAAAAAAATCTAAAATTTTACATAATAATTTATTGTTAGTGGTAATATTTTTATTAAAACTCTGAAACTCTTTATGCATATTCTAGGGTAAGTCAGATAAATAAGTTGTTACTGTTATTCAGAACAAAAATTTTCAGTATAAGAAAAAAGATACACAGTTGCTGCTGGATTTATGATGGGGTTACATGCTGATAAACCCATCATAAGTTGAAGACATTGTAAATTAAAAACATGTGTAGTAGAAGTAGCTGCTCACCTTATGGCAGCCAGGAAGCAAAGAAAGAGACAGGAAGAGGCTGGGATTCAGTGTCCCTATCAAGGACACCGTCCCAGGGACCTAACTTCCTCCCTCTAGTCTCTTAATAGTTTCATCACCTTCCAATAGCTGAGAACCAAGTCTGAAACATGAGCCTGGGGCCGAGACATAGCTCAGGTGGCAGCTGCCTGCTGGAAGATCAAGTAGAGTGCTAAGTCTGGGGAACATTTCAGATCCAAACTGTAGCAAAAATGGTGCCTTGAGGAAACTCTTCGGTGCAGAAAATGAGGTTCTCTGGAGGTCCCATTAAAAGGACACAAAAGAGGACTCTGCCTGGCCAAATTTGGGACAATTTAAGTCTTCCAAGAAATAGTGATAGTAATGGGATGTTACACATGGAATTAAAATGGCAGAAGTGAGTCAGTAAAGATGTTAACAAATAAGGGGAGGGTCTCATTGAACACGCCGGCAGCTTTGGAGGCTTTTGTGTGATTTCTTGGCCAGTAGAACTGGGCCTATACTCAACCAACCATGTCGAAAGGACCTGCAGTTGGCATTGATCTTGGCACCACCTACTCCTGTGTGGGTGTCTTCCAGCATGGGAAGGTGGAGATAATCACCAATGATCAGGGAAACTGAACCACCCCAAGTTATGTTGCTTTCACCGACACCAAACGACTGATTGGAGATGCTGCAAAAAAATCAAGTTGCAATGAACCCCACCAACACAGTTTTTGATGCCAATCATCTGATTGGACGAAGATTTGATGATGCTGTAGTCCAGTCTGATATGAAGCATTGGCCTTTCACGGTGGTGAATGATGCAGGCAGACCCAAGGTTCAGGTCACATACAAAGGAGAAACAAAGAGCTTCTATCCACAAGAAGTATCTTCTATGGTGCTGACAAAGATGAAGGAAATTGCCGAAGCTTATCTTGGGAAGACTGTTACCAATGCTGTGGTTACTGTGCCAGCCTACTTTAATGACTCTCAGTGTCAAGCAACCAAAGATGCTGGAACTATTGCTGGTTTTAATGTACTTAGAATTATCAATGAGCCAACAGCTGGTGCTATTGCTTATGGCTTAGACAAAAAGGTTGGAGCTGAAAGAAATGTGCTGATTTTTGATTTAGGAGGTGGCACTTTTGATGTGTCAATCCTCACTACTGAAGATGGAATCTTCGAGGTGAAATCTACAACTGGAGATACCCACTTAGGTGGAGAAGACTGACAATGCAATGGTCAACCATTTTATTGCTGAGTTCAAGCACAAGCATAAGAAAGACATCAGTGAGAACAAGAGAGCTGTCCACCATCTCCACACTGCATGTGAACGAGCTAAAAGAACCCTCTCTTCCAGCTCCCAAGCCAGTATTGATATTGATTCCCTCTATGAAGGAATCGACTTCTATACCTCCATTACTCATGCTCAATTTGAAGAGTTGAATGCTGACCTGTTCCGAGGCACTCTAGACCCTGTAGAGAAGGCTCTTTGAGATGCCAAACTGGAAAGTCACAAATCCATGACATTGTCCTGGTGGGTGGTTCTACCCATATCGCTAAGATCCAGAAGCTTCTACAAGATTTCTTCAATGGAAAAGAATTGAATAAGAGCATCAACCTTGATGATGCTGTTGCTTATGGTGCAGCTGTTCAGGCAGCCATTCTGTCTGGAGACAAGTCTGAAAATGTTCAAGATTTGCTGCTCTTGGCTGTCACTACCCTTTCCCTTGGTATTGAAACTGCTGGTGGAGTCATGACAGTCCTCATCAAATGCAATACTACCATTCCTACCAAGCAGACACAGATCTTCACTACCTACTCTGACAACCAGCCGTGTGTGCTTATTCAGATATATGAAGGTGAGCATGCCATGACTAAGGATAACACCCTGCTTGGCAAGTTTGAACTCACAGGCATACCTCCTGCACCCAATGGTGTTCCTCAAATTGAGGTCACCTTTGATATTGATACCAATGACATCCTCAATGTCTCTGCTGCTGACAAGAGTACAGGGAAAGAGAACAAGATTACCATCACTAATGACAAGGGCCATTTGAGCAAGGAGGACATAGAGCGTATGGTCCAGGAAGCAGAGAAGTACAAAGCTAAAGATGAGAAACAGAGGGATAAGGTGTCCTCCAAGAATTCACTGGAGTCCTATGCTTTCAATATGAAAGCAACTGTTGAAGATGAGAAACTTCAGGGCAAGATCAATGATGAAGACAAACAGAAGATTTTGATAAAAATGTAATGAAATCATCAACTGACTGGATAAGAATCAGACTGCAGAGAAGGAAGAATTTGAACATCAGCAGAAGGAGCTGGAGAAAGTCTGCAATCCCATCCTCACCAAGCTGTACCAGAGTGCAGGTGGCATGCCTGGGGGCTTCCCTGGTGGGGGAGCTCCTCCTTCTGGTGGTGCTTCCTCAGGGCCTACCATTGAAGAGGTTGATTAAGCCAACCATAAGTATAGATTTAGCATTGTTCCACACAATAAGGCATTGAAGGACCTAAATTTGGAGCAAATTCTGTGGCAGTTGTTAAAGTTTAACTGCTACAGTAAAGTACTGGGTATTCTCAATACTTGAACATGGAACATGTGCACAGGGAAAAGATAACATTGCATTTTATAAGCACTGTATTATAAGTGGAAATGCAATGTCTTCAATAAAAGTATTTAAAATTGGAAAAAAAATCCCAAGGGGATGAGTGGTGAAAGGATACTGGGAAAGCTCTTCTTTACAAAATAATGCCAGACGAAAAATGTAGACAAAATGACAGAAATAGAAAAATCACCATTGTTCCCCTCATAACAATTAATTTGGGCAAAAATCATCATTGGATGCTAACACGATTGGTGAAATACATTGAGCACAGTGACATGCAAAAAGTCTCAAAGCATCATGATGCTTACAGCATCGTTTCTCAGATCACTGATTTATTATAGAAGGGGGAAATAAATGCCTTTGAACTCGCGGTCACTGCCTTCACACAGTGATCATACCTAGAATCCCAGTAGCAGGGCAGGTTGACGGATATGCCTTCCCATGGGATGAGGTTATGTGTTCAATCTCACTCACAGAGTATTCTCACAAAAAAATTTTTTTTTCTGGTGCTGGCAGTTGAACCGAAGATCTTCACACTGACTTACTACCCAACCCAACCTAGTCTCCCCCAACCCTGCCTTTTATTTTTTGGTACTTGGGATCAATCTCAGGTCCTTGCGCTTGCGCAGCAGGCAGCAAAACCACTGAACTAAATCCCTGGCCACGCTGCCTTTTTGAGACAAGATCTCATTAAGTCATGAAGTTGACCAAGCTAGGCTCCAATTTGTTATCCTCCTGCCTCAGCCTTCCAGGGTGCTGGAATTACAGGCAAAGCAATCACATTTAGCTTCTTGCCAAAAATATTTAACTTGAGTTTAGTCATGAGAAAACAGTTAGACAAATTCAGAATATGAGATGATTCTACGGGACAACTAGCCTGAACTCTTCAAAAAGTGTCAATATTATAGAGAAGAAGCTAACATAAAACCATCATATTTTGTATTTAAAGGGCTAAAGAGGCATAACTACTGAATGAACTGTGTGAGTGTTGGTCAGATGTTAGACTTTGAAGAGAATTATATAAAAAACATTATGGGACAAATGGGGAGGTTGGGTGTGCGCCGTCTGTGAGACGGTAGTTCAGAATGACTGTTCATTTGCTTAGTGTAAGGCTGTTACTGGGTTACATGAGAATATCCTGTTTCTTAGGAGAAACGTGTGGAAATACTTCACAGTCATATGTTGTGATGCCTATCAATATTTCAAACCATTTAGCCACAAAAAATATTAATAGGAAAGGAAGCATGCAAATGTGGCAAGATGAGCATACATGAAGGGCAGTGGATGTGCATTTGTTTATTTGTACTTTTCTGTAGCTTCCAAATATTTTCAACAGGAAGTTGCAGGCAGAACTTTAAATTTGGCATGGGGTGTCATATTTTAGGGAGGCTTGTTGCAGCTGTCTTTCCTCCAGCTCAGGCTCGCTCGGGCCACCTCTTCTGACATCTGGACACACCTGACCAAAATGTCTCCTGTTCCTCTCAGGTGAAGACCCACTTGTGGATGATCAAAATGAGCGAGATATCAATTCAGTCGCTGGTGTTTTAAAACTGTATTTCCGAGGACTGGAAAACCCACTCTTTCCTAAGGAAAGGTTTCAAGATTTGATATCTACTATTAGTAAGTATTTCCCAGGTGGAATGGTCACTTCCTAGACAGATCTGGGTTGAAGTTGCCCTGTGGACTTATCACTTTGCTAGGCACAGAAGGGGATATTGGAAGTGTAGCTCTTGTCCTCAGAACTTGCTGCCCAGCTGTGGAGACCACATGGTTCATGAAGAGAGGGCTACCGGGGTTGGTGAATCCCTTGCCCAGTACAGTGGAGCTCAGAGAGAAGAGGCACAGAGAGGCTTGGTTTCACAGATCGAACCTGAGAGGGATCTGAGCACATCTTGCAGAATATGTGAATGCAGGGAATCCTGGGAAGAGCTAGAGACTCAAACAAGGGGACCAGTGGGAGGGTGCCCCAGCTAGAGCACAGTGCACCCTGCTGGAAGAGTTAAGATGGAGCAAGAGGAGTGGACCATCAAGCCTTGTGGGAGTCTTGGAGCTGTTCACTTTGGGTGATGGTGAACCATGTACAGTTTGGGGGTCAGGTCAGGAACGTGACAGACAAGGGAGGTGGTGACAGTAAGTTGACTGGAGGAGTCCTTTTCCATCATTAGCCATGGGAGCTCATTTTGACTGGTATATTTCTGTGGGTAAAGTCAGGAGGAGCCCAGTCTGGGAGGCTGATGTACAGGTATTTTGACTAAGGTACTAAAATCCAAGGTAGCCTTTGGGGGAATATTTTATAAATAAACATTTTAATTTTAGAATATTAGAATTTTAATATTATAGGATAAACATTTTTATTGAATTTACAGAAAAGTTGCGTTATACCCAGTTTTTCCAGGGGTCCTCTCCTAATACTCAATGAGATATTTGCAGCCAGGAAAGCATCCTGGGAGATGGCAACAGAAGAGGAAAGCTTGTGCTCTCCGACTTTGTGTGAAAGGCCCTTCCTGGTCCATCTGCCCTTGTCACAACTTCCTGCTCATTTTTCCAGATCGACTTCAAGCTCCACACCATGTCTTAGAATTCCCAGGCCACAAAGGCCCAATTCTGTCTGAGCCCTCTGTCTCTAGAACCACCAATAACCCTGTTCCTGTGCAGGGGCCTGAGTGAACAAGGATGTCACCAGGCCATGACATTGCCCGACTTGAATCACACAAGAAAGACTCTCCTCAGTTCCCTCTCAAGCCCTGCAGTTATGTCAAGGAGAAACTCTCAAACATCAACCTCCCTTCTAAACAGAGAAGGCTGAGGTCTCCAGAGTTCTGTAGACAATGTCCACCTGTAACTTAGTGACACTGTTGTGCCTTCATCATCCAATCCCCCCATCTGTGGTTTCAATCTCCAAAAGTTTCAGTTATCCACAGTCAACTTCAGCCAGAAAATGTTAAGTGGAAAATGCCAGAAATAAGCAATTCATAAGTTTTAGTTAGCTTTTATTACAGCATACTGTTATAATTGTTCTATCTTATTAGTTGTTATTGTTAGTCTCTTCCCATACCTAATTTATGAATTAAATTTTACCAAAGGTAGGTATGTGTTGAGAAACAGTGCACACAGGGTTTATGCTAGCCACAGTTTCAGACGTGAATACTATATCTTGGAATTTAGCACCCATTGATGGGAGGCTACTTACCTATTTTTATATTAATACCCAATTGTGAAAAATGGCTCTCATTTCCCACTACATAGTGATATAAAGTTTCCTTTCAAAGTAAATGTATTTAGAAAAAACAGTGTTAACAAATAGGAGGAGAGCTGGTCCTCAGGCATGAGTGCTTGAAGCTCAGGACATGGAAGGTTGGGGCTGGGCTGAGGAACTGATCTGTGAGTAGACCAACTCTGTCCTTAAGCTGAGCGAGAGGGACCAGCGTGTGCACAGGCCTGGGAGTGGCAGTGTTCTTTGCATGAAAATGATGGGATAGACAAGGCCACCTAATGTGGAGTTTCCCTATGTGGCACTTATGGAATTTAGGACAGAGAAATCCCGTTGTGTGTCCCACAAATTCAAGACATGTAGAACCCTGGTCCTTGGATACCAGGTGCCAGCACTGCCCTCCAGTCACTGTGATAACCCCAGAGAGTGCCCTACAGGTGTGCAAGTGCCCTGGTTTTGTCACTAGCCCTTTGTTGGAGAGGCATTGTTCCAGATCATCTTCAGATACTTGAGGAAGGGGTGGCAGCTGGGGGATGAGGCTGGCAGGATGGCTGCAGCCCCATCACTAACAATGTGGAGGCTGGAGAGAGGGTCAGTTTGAGAAAAACATCACTGGCCCAAGAAACTGGTGTCATTTTGCACATCAGCCCTGCAGGTGACCTTCAGAGCGTTGGCAGCACCAGCTCTCCCTCTCCAGGAGCGCTTGTCTCCTCTTCCCAAGCCTGGTTTGCTGCCCCCAGCCCCAACTGAGCTGATAAACATACCAATGCCCATCTCTCTAGGGCTGAGCTAAAAGCAGGGGTCAGAGACGAGGTCCTGCACCTCTGCTGAGCTTTCTGGCCAGTGAGTAGCTCACCAACAGGTTGTGAATCCACCGTTCTGTTCCTGCGCAGCTATTAGTTTAGTTTAAAACATGATCCTTGCCTGTGTTGCCAGGACTTCAGGGTGCATGTGACAGAAACTCAGACTGGTGTGATCATAAAGGAGAATGTGTGGGTTCATGTACTTGACAAATTTAGGTCCAGCTGGACTCATACTCTAAGACAGCATCAGCAGGAAACTGTGCCTCCCCTGTCTCTGTGCCAACTTCTCTGTCTGGCAGGATCCTCCTTCCTGGGAGTTCCCAGCTGCTCAGACTTCCCTCTGCCCAAGTTCTAGGCACCTCTCTTTCCATAGGTTTTTCCTGTCCAAACTTCCGAGGATCAGCTCTGACTGGTTCTGTGTAGTCCAAGCCCCAATCCCTCTCCCTGATCAGGGATTTGATGCTCTGATTGGCCAGGCCAGGATCACATTTGAATCTCATGAACTGAGAACAGAACTGGGGACAGGATCCACTCAGACTGATGTGGGAGGTGGGACTCTGAAAGGCACCCTGAAAACCCCCTTTGTGTTACAGAACTGGAGAACCCAGCCGAGAGGGTGCACCAGATCCAGCAAATCCTCATCACCCTGCCCCGTGTGGTCATTGTGGTCATGAGATACCTCTTTGCTTTCCTCAATCAGTGAGTGCTTGGCCAAGGGCCCCCTTGGACTCTGCCTTGGCCTCCTTTGGGTGGGGGTTCTGAGGGTTTCTGCAGTCTCTCCTGGATTTGAGTAGAGTCTACCCCTCCCAGAAAGAAACTCCGAGGGAGGATTTGCCTTTCCCAAGTGACTTGCAGGTGCCTCCTCTCTCCTAGCCTCTCCCAGTATAGCGACGAGAACATGATGGATCCTTACAACCTGGCCATCTGCTTTGGGCCCACCCTCATGCACATCCCCGATGGGCAGGACCCTGTGTCCTGCCAGGCACACGTCAATGAAGTCATCAAAACCATCATCATCCATCACGAAGCCATCTTCCCCAGCCCCCGGGAGCTCGAGGGACCCGTGTATGAAAAGTGCATGGCTGGAGGGGAAGAGTATTGGTAAGATGCCTCCCTGTTAATGTTACGCTTAGCTTTGTCATTGTTGTTGAGCCCTTCAGTTCTCTTGCTGCTTCAGAGTCTACTCCCATGTACATTTTGTCATCTGAGCTTCACAGCAGCCTTATATGAGGGATGGGTACATCAGTGAAGATCCTGTTGGTAACAGTGGAATGAAATACAAGCCAAACTTCCCTGAGCCTGACATGATGTTATTGGTTCACTTAACTAAAAAGTCTGGGGGATACATCCTTAGGTGTGACTGGATCTAGGAGTGCAGGTGTTATCATCAGGATGTGGCCCTGCCCTGTCCATCCCTCAGTTCTGCCTCCCTGTGCTTGCACACAGCCTTTCCCTTGGTGCTCACAAGAAGGCAGTCAGCAATGCCAGCTTTAAACCCATTTGGAGCATCCTTAATAGAAAAAGAGCTTCTCCTTCCCAAATGTGCCAACACAAGCCAGAGAAATGTTTGGGCCTGAAAAAAAAAATGTTTGGGTCTAGTGAGGCCTCCATGTGGTAAGCAGAGGTGATGCTGCTGTGGATGAGGTGTGCTGCAGGCCCATCTCAGGAAGTGGAGGGCGAGTGATCCCCTTGAAACGCATGAGCTAAAGTGCCACTATCTGCCTCACAAGTGCAAGGTCCCGAGCTTGATCCCTGGTACCAAAAAAAAAACAAAAAAAACAATGCAGGTTGTGGGATAATGGTAGATAACGAGAAAGTACTGTATGTGTGAGAAAGCTAGAAGGAGTGTTTTCACCATAAACCCTGATTGGGATTTGGGCTGGGACTCAGTGGCAGAGCACATGTGTAAGGTCTCTTCAATTCCCAGCACCACATAAACACACACACACACACACACACACACACACACACACAAAGTTCAAGGAGATGGATATGTTTACTCTGGTTTAAATATTATACATACAATGTGTAAATGGCACATGTATTGAAACACCACATGGTACTCCATAAATATGTACTATTTTATGTTTTTGTATGTCAATGAAAGTTTTTAGTTGAAAAAACAATACTCCATAAGAAAAAAATCCATTGAAGACATGAAATTCAACACATCAAGTGAAAGGGACTAGCCAAAGAGTAACCACTGCTTTTTAATTCCCAACCCAGGACAGCACAGAGCTGTACATTTAGGTCTTACCCACAGCACATCAGCCAGAGACCTAGGGGGAGTTATGGTTTTGACTGCAAAGCATCCTTGGGCTCTTAAGTTCCCTGTGTGCTGGGGGCAGGTATGAGTAGCTGTTTCAGAGGCAGGAGGTGTTCCAGCCCCATTGTCCCACATACACACCTCCCCACACGGAAACCCTGGGCTGTGTGATGTCTGATCACAGCTCTCTGTCCTTATTGGGGGCCTCCAGAAGAAAGAATGTGCCTGCTCTGTAACAGAAGCATTCAACAACCAGATGCATCATTTCTACAAAAGGGAACCCTTCTCTCAGTTTTTGCCAATAGCAGTTCTTTTTCCTTGGTTCAATAGTTGGCATTAAAAAGACCCACAGAGCTTAGATCTTATCAAAGAAACATATACAATAACATCACTTTTCTCAATCCCACTTGCTTCCCATGAGACTGGAAAATTATTATGTGATAATTTTGGAAGTGTTCTCAAAGCCAAAAAGGGAGATTTGGCTAAAGGCTCACTCAGCACAGTGGACAACATGCATTCATTGGACAAATGGTCCTTGAGGCTGTGCTGTGGTCCAGGTTCCAGGCTGGGAGGCAGGGATGGCATCCAAATGAGATAAGCTCTTGGTGCAGGGAGCTATGATGGAGTCAGAGGCAGGCGGTTCCAGGAGTGGGGTGCTTGGGAAGCGTTTGGAATTAAGGACTGAGCTGACAGCAGGACAACCGGAGCCAGCTCTGTAATGGGTGAGGAGAAGGTTCTAGGCTTGGAGAATTCAGTAAAAAGACAAATGGGTCAGTGTGGCTGGAGTGCCATGTATGGCATGGGAATGGTGAGGGACAAGGCTCCCTGGTTGGACACATCCAGGAGCTGAGTAGTCTTGGTAGCCATTGTGGAGTCTGGACCTGATCCAGGGGCAGTGGAGAGGTTTTTATACTAAAGCCCTATTCCTTTAAATGGCACTGTGAGTGTCACCTTCTCTGAGAAGCTTGCTCTGACCATGTTATGTAGGCTCCCTCTGCTCTTCTTATCTGCCCACTTCCTACACAATGCTATTTCAGCTTGCAACTGTGTTATTTACTGGCCTATTTTCATGGACTGTTTTCTTGTCTCCCTCTCTGGCATGTAAGCAGTGCAGCCATGGGCCTTGCCCCCTCCTGTCATGGCACCCTCCTGCCTAGCATAGCAGCCATACATTATGACCTTCAGTGACTTGGTGAAAATCTGACCCACCAACTGTGTGAACACACCTGGCCTCAGCAATCTCATAATCTTGCCCGGGGGTGGCAGGAGTGACATGATTCCAGGACACACCTGGAGCACAACATGGTGGCCAGCCTGTGCACACTGCTCAGATGGGGCAGGGCTTCTCCCTCTTCCTCAGAATTGAGGATTAAACCTAGGGCTCTGAGCTGCATCCCCAGCCATTTTTTTTTTTTTTTGAGAAGAGTCTCACTAAGTTGCCCAGGCTGAACCTGCACTTGTAATTTTCTTGTCTTGATCTCCCACAGTGCTGGGAATAAGTCATGCACCACCATGCTGTGAGACAAGGAGGCCAGGCTAGGTGAAATGACTCATAATAACCAAAAGGTCCTTTCTGTTCTGGCCAGTGGGACCTTCTGATGATAAATGCTGGGGCCTGATCAACACTGTGAAGGTCCTACAGAATATGCACACATTGTCTAAGTTCATTATCTGTTTCTGTAGCAGAATATCTGAGGCTAAATAATTTACAGTGAACAGAAATTTGTATGAGCCATGGTTCTAGAAGTTGGAAATCCAAGAACATGGTGCCAGTATTTGTGCTGCATTATCTCAAGGCACAAGGGCAAAAAAGCCAAGAGTGAGACAGGGAGTAAGAAGGATTGGGTCAAACTTGCTTTAGTAACAGCCTACTTTCGTACAGTGAACCCACTGCTGTGGTAACCACATTAATCTCAGTTGCGCTTGGGATAAAGTTTCCAACACATGACCTTTGGGTACACATCCAATGCATTGACCATCTTAATAGAGAAGATGGCCCAGCAAATTCCAGAGCCAGGAGGGAGCTGAAGGAGGTGCCCAGGGAGGCTCCCCACTGAGGGGCTAGGAGTGGTGGTCTGATTAGAAGATCTGAGGGTGGTCAGATGGAAAGATAGACTGATGTGAGTCTGGGCCAGCCCTGGGTGAGGGCCCAGTGGTGGTTGGGCTGCTGCTCCTGGGAAGCCAAGAGCCCTGTGGGTGTAGACAGCCCTATAATGAGTCCCCTCCCTGTGTTTCCTTGCAGTGACAGCCCACATAGTGAGCCAGGGACTATCGATGAAGTTGACCATGACAATGGCACAGAGCCTCACACTAGTGATGAAGGTGAGTATGGGGAGCCCAGGCCAGGGGCCTTATCTGTAGTCTCTAGTGTGGTCTCCTGCCACCCTCTGGGCCAGGATGTAGAGCCCTCCAGTTTGCCCTACCTACACAACTGTCCTTCAGAAGAGGTGCAGACCCAGAGAATAACTCGCATAGCATGACCCAGGCCCCAGTGCCAACCAGGTCCTCACCACACTCCACACTCACATCTGCCCTTATGTGTCCTGCTGGCCCAGGTGCAAATCCTAAGGGACAAGAGTGTCAAGTAGGGAGCACCCTCTGTCCCTCCCTCAGAGGATCTTTGCTGAGACCTGAGATATGGAGATTAGTGAGGCAGGTCCTCAAGGAGTTCCCAGCCTGTCATGAGACCGTGATAAATTGCAAGCAGCTCCTCATGGTGCAGAGAAATTCAGGCACTACTAGATATACCATCATATATATAATAAGAGTATCAAAAATGAAAGGAGAGTGAACAAGAGTAGAAAAACTTGAAGAAATAATAGCTAAAAACTTCACAAACTTACTAAAAAACAAACCAGGAAACTCAACACAGCCAGAAAACTCAATAAACTCCAAGTGGAATAAAAGCCACACACAGACAAGTCATAGTAAAAATGGTGAAAGTCAAATACAAGGATACAATCTTGACATCAAGAGAAAAACAAGCCTTTGGTAAGATTTACAGCTGATTTCTTGTTAGAAACAATAGATGCCAGAAGGTAGTCAGATATTATGATCAAAGTACTTGAAGAAAATAATTGCCATCCAAGAATCTGATATCTGGTAAAACTATCTTTCAAAAATTTAATGAAAGGATTTTCCAAGTTTTAAAAAACTGAGAAAAGTTGTCACTATTAAAACCATTTTACAAAAATACTAAGACTTTTTCAGTCTGAACACAAGTGACCACCTGTGATAATTTAAAAGCATACACACAAAAACAGAGAGCACTAGAAAATGTGACGAATAAAAATGAAGACATAATACACACAAATTATAGGATGCAGCTAAGGCAGAGTGGTAATGCTAGGGGTCAGGTGCCTCCCCAGTGCAGGGAGTACCCCAACATGAATACCAGGGGTGAGGCCTCAGAAAATGTGTGGGAAAAGACCAGTCCTACTGCCGATCCTGCTCCCCCTATAGTGAAGCTGTGTTCACTTTTCCTCATTCTTTTTCTCTCCGTTCATCAGCATGCATAATCTCTTATCGGTCTATCTTCAAGTTCACTAATTCTTTCTTCCACCTCTTCAAGTCTTTTGTTGTGCCCCTTTGTAAATTTTTTATTTCAATTGTACTTCATAATTCTATAACTCCATCTAACTGAGGCTTAGAAAGAAAAATTAGGTTGCTAAGGTCATACAGCTCACAGGTCAAAAAACCCAGTGTTCTCATCTTAACTATGTGATGGACAGGTAGGTGGATGGATACAAGATCATCCATGATGAATGGAGCAGAGAAAGTCCCAAGGAGACTCAGCACTGGGAAGACACCTTCAGGCTAGAAAGAGCAGGGCTTGCTTTTGTTATCCTTTTGTTCTGTTAAAAAAAAAAAATAGCCTGGTGGTGGATGCCTGCAATGCCATCTACTGGGGAAGCTGAGGCAAGAGGATCACAAATTTGAGCCCAGCTTGGGCAACTTAGTGAGATCCATCTGAAAAATAAAATTCAAAGCAAAAAGAGCCAGAAATGTGGCTTAATGATAGAACACTTGCCTACCATGCGTAAGGGCTTCGGTTCAATCTCCAGCAATGCAAATAAAAATTAATTAATTACATGTCTTTGTGCTTGCCTTTATAAATTTTTTTGACAAGCATAGGCACCTCTTAGGGTACAGTCTCTGACACAAGTTAAATAAATAGTAGACACAGTCCCCTTACTCCCCTGAAAGTCTCGTTTTTAAATATCACCAGCTGTATGGTCTTATACATATTATTAAAACCTTCTGCAGCCTGGATTTCATTTCTGGATCTCTCCAGCAAGCTAAATCCATTAGTGATTATAATCACGGTCGTGACAACTACTATCAGGTAAAAAGATGGAAGTTCAAGATCAAGGTGCTGCATCCGAGTTGACTTGGGGCCAGGTCTCTCTCTTCCTTTCTTGTAGGTAGCTGACTTCTCATTGTGTCTGCCCATGGCCTCTCCTCTCTGTGTATCCACAGAGAACATTCTGGTGTCTCTCTTCATCTTCTTATGAGGACACCAGTCCTACCGGATTAGGGCCCTACCCTATATTCACCAGCATTTCAAGTAACTGCCGAACTAGAGGCCCCATCTCCAAATACAATCCCTCGGGATTAGGGCTTCCACATATTAATGTTGGGGGGACACAATTCAGTTCATTACAATGAGCTTGGGGATTCTGGGACCCTTAAAAATTGTGTGTCACATTTTGTACACACACCATCTTTTTGACTTCTCAAAAGTTTAAGAACACCAAAGGTATGAGAAGAGAGGGAAAAGGCTCATGGGAAAACAGAACAAGAACTTATGCAAAGATGTAGAAGAAAAATAAATTTCTTCAAATATTATCTTAATGAATGTTAAAAAGTTGAGAGCAAGAGGGACAGTGGAAAATAGGGATCAGGTATGTTTGTTCCCAGTGGACGTCTTGAGAAGTGAGGTGGCTGGCTTGAGGTTACACAGTGGGGAGGATATCTGAGCCTGGAGCCCCAGTGTCCCCAGCACATGTTCTTACCAGGCATGGCACCTGTCCTGCCCATAGAAGCCAAGGAATCCCAGTGAGCCTCCTGGGCTATCCCTGTGCTGACCTGTGGATGCTCTTTCCCTTGCTTTCCTTCCAGAAGTGGAGCAAATTGAAGCCATTGCCAAGTTTGATTATGTGGGGCGGTCCCCACGTGAGCTGTCCTTCAAGAAGGGGGCCTCGCTGCTCCTGTACCACCGCGCCTCGGAGGACTGGTGGGAAGGCCGTCACAACGGTGTGGATGGACTCATCCCCCATCAGTACATAGTTGTACAGGACATGTGAGTGGGAATTGGAGACCTTCTGTGAAGAGTGCGGTGATAGATTGGTGATATCTGCAGTGGCACCAGAGAGGAGTGCTGGGTTATATATGCTGGCATAATATGCTCGATGTTCTCTAAGAATGCATTATACCCCACTTCCCTTTATTGATAATCCACTTAGCAAATATGCAAAGTTCTTGTTCTTCAGAGCACATAGCAATGGTATGTGGTGCTCCTGGCTAGCCATCCAGATCCATCAGACAGCCTCCCGGACCCTCCTCACCACCATGGTTCATAGTGTCCAGCAGATCTTGACATATTCCCTCTCCTGTCTTGCCCTAGCCGGTGACCAGCCCACCCCCGCTTTGCTGCCCAGTGTTCTCCCCTTGACAGGACCTTCTCAGGGGATGAGCAAAAACAAGCACGTCCTTGTTTCTAGTTAACAGGATGCCATTTTTATAATTTCAGGGATTGAAAAAAGTTCCACACCCCAAGTAACTAGCCCTTAACAAGTCTACATTTTCCATCCTTTGAGCCACCCTTTGGTTTCCTCTTGTATATACATTCCCTGAAGCTCCAGTCAGGTACAGGGAAACTGATTTATCATGGAAGCAGCCATAAGCTAAACCTCATAGCAAGAGGACCTATGTTTTTATGGGAGAGGGGAAGGTCCAAATGGTAAAAAGAATGCTGTGGTGGAGGGCCCTCAGTATCACCTGATGTTCTCAGGTCCCCGAGGGCAAGGCATGTCACTGAGAGAAAGAGGGCTGTGGAAGGAGGCTGGCATGGCCTCCTAGGAGCTCGAGCCTGTTCATGGCAGTCTTCCAGCCTGGATGGGGAGTTAAGGGATGGAGTCACCTCTCCCTCCCTTGTTTAGCCCTGAATCACTTCTGGATCTGCATGGAGACCCAGAGAGCTGCCATTATCTTTGCTCAGTGTGCAGCCACCACTGCTGGCTTCTCTAGCACACTGGTAGCTCTTAGTCTGGCTTAGTTCAAGCATAGCCTGGGACAGAAGAACAAGCAAGAGCAGGGAGAGGAGAGGTGGGTGTGGAGAGGCCCTACGGGAGAAGCTGGCTTCAGCAGCATGGCAGTGGGTATGTATGGGGGAAGTGGCTCACCCAAGCTGTGGGCACAGTTAGCATAGGTGTGTGTTGACTCTGCTCCTCAGACAGGTGACAAGGAGCCCTGTGTGTCCTGGGTTCTCTGCAAGGAGACTCCTCCAAGTCATGTCTCTCCTCTCCCCAGGGATGATGCCTTCTCTGACAGCCTGAGCCAAAAGGCTGATAGCGAGGCCAGCAGTGGACCACTGCTGGATGACAAGGCCTCCTCCAAGAATGACCTCCAGTCCCCCACGGAGCACATCTCAGACTACGGCTTTGGGGGGGTGATGGGCCGGTAGGAAATGCTGGTTCCTTTTATTGCATCTGTTCACATCTGAACTGGGAGAGATAGAAGGACAGGACAGAGAGAGAAGGAGGCTGTTGACACACCTTTTCCCACAGGATGGGATCTTGGGCACAACTGCGCAGGCTGGCTGGAGTAGCTCATGAGAGCTGGAAATAAAAACCATCCAGGTTTGGGTAGGGTATAGACGAGGAGGAAGAAAGGCATGCATTGGGAGCTTAGTACTTTTTCTTTAAAATAATAATAATGATTATGACTGAGGTAGAGAAGACAGAGGAAGAGAAATTAGCAAGTATTTTCCTCCCTCTCCCTCTTCCTGCACCTCTTCCCAGCTTCCTATTAAAAACCTCTGTTGTCACCCAGTACTTTAGTGTAAAGCTCACGCACCCCTGAGATGTACTACATTACCAGAAAACCTGCACCTACTGTGCTGGGAAGATTGACACACACTACACCCACTTTCTGGGTGGGAGCAGACCTGCCAATTTCTTCACTCCCTGTGTGGGGGCCGGGCTCTGTCACACAACCTTTACCAGCAAGGGGGTGCCATGTCCTTCTGAGAACAGGAATCGTCCAAATATGTGGTTGTTAAATAAAATATAAACAAGGACAAGAGGAGAAAAGAAAAGAATTGACAGTTACCCTGCTTTATTTTCACTGGACTCTCAAAATGTTTTACTGTCTGGGTGCAGTGGCCATACCTGCACTGCATTGCAGGAGGCTGAGACAGGAGGATGGCAAGTTCCAGCTCTTCCTGGGCAACTTACTGACTTAGTGAGCCCCCCACTCTCAAAAAAAAAAAAGTCATGTTCTAAGTTTTTTTCTAGTAGAAGGTCCTGTGGTCGATCCACATGTGCAAGTCTTTGCAGTCAGAACCAAAGAAGCAGTCACAGTAGGTGCACACATTTATGAATTTATTTCAGCTGAAGTCCTGATGCCTCTTCTCAGCATCTTCTATTCAGTTTGTGAAAGAGCAGGACATTATGATGAGTGACAGTGTTGAGGGGAAGTGGAAGGCTGGGGGAGGGGTATAAAACATCACGGTCCCTGACCTCCAAGAGGACCATCTCTTCTCCTGCCTCTCTTCTCCTTGTCCTCTTCCCTCTCTCATCTCATCTTCTGGCTCTTTCTCTCTCAGTGCCTCTTCCTCTTCTACACCTCTGCTTTGGTCCCACTGGGCACCCACAGGCCGGCTTAGCTTGGCTGGGGGCACAGGATCTGAGTGTGGCAGACCTCAGTGAATGTGGCCCCTACTCACATGCTGCACACTGTCCCCTTCCTTCCCAGCCCTCCCTCCCTCACCAGGGCCTCAGCACCCTTGATGACCTCTGCAGAGTACAGAAAAATCTGTTATCTTCAAGGTGCATTCAGATTCGCTGAAGGTGGGCAGGGGCTGTTGCACCCACTGAGCAGCTGAACAGAGCGGATCCGAGCCAGAGCTCAGGAGAGCACACCCAGACACTTCCACACTTTTCACACGTACAGGGCCTCCATGAGATGGGAGAGGGATCCAGATCAGGAAAGAGGCATCCACAACACAACGACTCTTAAATGACCAGTTCTCCAAGATCAGAAAACCTTTATGGACATAGCCTTATTCTGGGGAGGTTGGGAATGGGTACAGCAGTGAACAGACCTTAGTTCCCAGGGCCCCTCCCGTGCTTGCATGGTGCTGGTGACTTTGGGTACAGCCGAGCCTCAATGCCTCAGACCAGCTAGAAGCCCATTGGAACAGTGAAAATGTCTCAAAAGCTTCAGGACATATCATGACCCCAACTAAGCACCACCAAAGCATTTCCAGGCTGAAATCCTGGCTCTAACCTAATATGCTGATGAGATTGGTTTTGGACTCAGCACCCCTGCTGTCTGCAGGTTGGAAGCTCTGTACTCTGCCTCCTATGTTGTGTTCCCTCTGAGCAGCTCCTCTGTTGGGAGGCTGTGTGGTCTGACAATGAGGCTTCACTATACCCACCTCTCAGAGTAGTGTGATGTGTGGCATGGGCATTGGCTGACTCATGCTGAGACTGGCCAGGGTTGACTTCTGCCCCTGCCCCACCCCCTGGCTCCTTTGCAGAGTGCGGTTACGATCGGACGGAGCAGCCATCCCCAGGCGCCGAAGTGGGGGCGACACGCACAGTCCACCCCGGGGCCTGGGCCCCAGCATAGACACGCCACCCAGAGCTGCCGCCTGCCCTAGCAGCCCCCACAAAATCCCCCTCAGCCGGGGGAGGATGGAGAGCCCTGAGAAGAGGAGGATGGCGACATTTGGGAGTGCTGGCAGCATCAACTACCCTGACAAGAAGGCTCTCTCCGAAGGCCACTCGATGCGGTCTACCTGCGGCTCCACCCGGCACAGCAGCCTAGGGGACCACAAGTCCCTGGAGGCCGAGGCCCTGGCAGAAGTAAGGGCCAGAGGGAAGGCAGCTAGGCCAGCTGAGTCTTAAGGGGGTGGTGGGTGGGACTCACCAAGAGGGGAGCCACCATGGCCTCCGACAGTATTGAGGCTAAGCCAGAAAAGGAGAGAGTAAGCTGGCTTCTCTTCCTTTTGCTGGGCCTTCCTCTTGGAATGGAAGCCAGGTGGGTACCAAACCTGGCTAGGGTTTCTGTAAAGGCTGAAAAACCCCCAGTGTCCAGGGCTGGAGAAGGGATTGGGTGGATTATGGGAAAAGGGCAATGGCAAGACTTTCCATAAAATAGCCTGATTGAGTCCACCAATCCATCCACCCACCCACCCATCCATCCATCCATCCAGTCACCCATCCATCCATCTTTCATTCATTCCTCTGTACATTTATGGTCAAAGACTGGTTGAGTATCTGTTGGGTGACAGTAACCACATTAGGCATTAAGGTACAGCAAAGACCTAAAACAGACTTCAGACCTGCCCACATGGAGCTTATTGTTTAAAGAAGAGAGAGCTGGCAGCCTGTAAACACACACAGCTCTGAGATGGTGGCTGGGCCAGTTGTCTCTAAGGAGTGGTCACTGTATTTTGAGAGCCTGAAATGTGGGGCCCACACTCATGCAGGGAGAGGATCCCTGGGAAGTTTAAACCTGAGCCCCAGAGGCTGGCAGGACTCAGTAGGTGAAGCTGGAAGGGAAGATGTTCCAGGCTCTTCCAAAGAGTAGAGTTCTGTGTGAATGAGAATGTCTGGCAAGTGTACAGAACTGTGACTTGTTAAATAGTTTGCATAACGGGATTCATGGATGTTTTTGAAAGTTCTATCATATTTCCTAGAGTTTCTGTTTTTTCTCTGTAATTTAGGGTAGAGCTACCTCCAACTTAAGAGATAACAACCAACCAGAGCCAGCAGTGGGGTGCAGGCCTGTAATCCCAACACTCTGGGAGAGGTTGAGGCTGGAGAATCCTAAATTCAAGCCCAGCCTGAGTAACTTAGTGACTTAGTGAGACTTTGTCTCAAAATAAAAATAAAAAAAATAAAAACAGGGCTGGGAGCATTGGTCAGTGCAAGGGCTCTAGGTTCAATTCCTAGTACCACCAAAAAGGCAGTACCAACCAGGACTGGAGCTCAGTGGCACATGCAAGGCCATAGATTTGGTCTCCAGCATCACAAAAACTTAAAAAGAGATGACAATCAGACTGGCAGAACCTCATGGGCAGTGAGAATTCTGCTGGGGAGAGCAGCATTTGCATTCCTGTTTGGAAGAGGAAGGAGAGATTGTGAGAAGTGTTCTGGGAGAAGTCCAGGGAGGATCCCAAGGGGACACCTAACACTGCTCTTCACACCTCGGGTCTAGTTTGGTCCCGTGTCCCAGTGCCCGCTCCCAGGGTCCCTGGGACCAGTATCTTGGCAGGGGTCAGGCAGAGGAGGCAGGCGACTTGTGCCTCTGTCCTTGAAGGGTGTCCTCTTGATAACATCACCCTAGCGTCCTCCTCACCTGGAAACCGCCCAGATCTGATGGGGGCGTGGCCTTTTTGGAAACACTGTTTCCGAAAGGGTCTCGTGGCAGGCCAATTCCTTCCGTGGGCTGTTAGTGGAGAAAGCAGAAATGTAGTGTAGGTAACAAAATTTGCAGAATGCTGGTCTGGCAAGGCTGAAGGGCTTATCTGCAAGATGTTTTAGAGCCTTGAACTGAATTGATGTGTGTGGATGGATCGCCAAGGATGAGAGAGGGGCACAGCCATCACCTGGCTTTATTCTTGGAGAATGTTGCAAGACCAGGCACAGGGGGAATGCTGCACATGTTCCTGGTGTGCAGATATCTACATACACTGCAATTTGATAGCTGCTACTCAAGACCTCCTTTCACTGATGGAGGTAAAATAGGAACTTACAGTAAACGATATGTAAATAGCCAGGAGGACACTGGACAACCAGCACCCTGCTTAGCCGCAGTTCTGACAAGCTCTTGATTTTGCAGGCTACAAAGTGAATGTGTGGTGTGGAGAATTCCCAGTAGTAGATGTAGTTACCCTACATTCCCTGGTCTTGCTTGAAAGGTCCACTAGGATTCAGATTTGAAACCCAGGTGAAGAGTGCTCCAGGAATAACCAACACTGTCATCAAAATGAGAAGCACTCTGTTGGGAAGGAAAAAGCTACTGCCTTCCCCACCCCATCCTCTGTCCTCATTGCCTCTCTGCAGCTCCACCTGAAGACTTGCGCCTCAGGTCTCCGACTAATGCACGGCTCCAGCCTAAACACCTTGGCTCATCTTTTTCTGAGCTTTCTGTCTTTCCAGTTCACACTCTTCAGGGTAGAATGGTGATGGAGGGTTGAGGTGGAAGGGCCATAATCACATTTATTTGTTAAAGTTTTGGCTCACACTGGATTAAAGCCAGCAGAAGGAGTAGAGTGGGCAGTAGGGAACTTAGTTCTAGCAGAATGGGTGATGCTAGGGTGGCCAGGGAAAGCAGGCCACGTCCTGCAGGGTGGGGATGTGGCACCCTAGAGAGGCGGCCATCTCTCCCTTCCTGCAGAGAAAGTCCCACAGCTGAGTCTCTGGATAAAGGCCCAAAAGAGCCCTCTTGCCCCTGCTGAGTATGGAGGAGACCCTGGAGCCATCCGTGGGCCAAGGACTCTTGGGCCATGAGTTGGCTATTTACAAAGCTCCACTGTATCCCATGTCATCTGGGCAGGAAACGTGGGCTTTTACCAGATGAGCAAAGGGTGCAACAGGGTCCCTGAGACCTGCCTACAGCTCCAAAGCCTGTCCCTTGGCTCCTGGATTCCTGTTGTCTTGCAGCTCCAGCCCTGCAATGGGCGGGCGGGTAGGTGGCCACGAAGCTGCCCAGTGACATGGGTGCCCCAGACTGGTCCAGATGTGCCACATCTCTCCCTGGGTTGTTCAACTGCTCTCACCTCATTAGCTCTCAAATACTACAGTGTCTGGAAAGGGCACATGTAGATGAGGGGTTTGTAGCTTTTTAACTTTTCCATTTTTTAACAAAATGAAAATTTCTGGTTATAATATTGGGATGAAGATTGTGAACATTCTGATATATGACTTCAAATAATGTTTTTGTGGGCAAGAATCTTTTTTGAATTAAAAAAAATTGACATGTAACTGTACAGATTTATGAAGTATAATGTGAAGTTTCAAGACATTTATACTTTGTGTAATAATGAAGGATGTTCAAGAAAAAATGACCATTAGGGGCAGGGATTCTAGAGCCACATTACCCAGACTCAGACTTGGGCTGTGCTAGTAATTAGCTGTGTGACATCAGGCAAGTTACTTAACCAGTCTGAGCTTTAGTTTCCTCCTCTGTGAAAGGAGTGTAATGGTAGTTCCTAGCTTATAAGTGTGAGGACTCAGTGAACTATTAGTGGAAAAGATTTGGAGTTGTGCTCGGTGTTAGGGATTATTGTTATTGCGGTTGGCACTATTAGAGTGTATATTGTGTGCCAGCTGTCATGCCAAGTCTTTGCAGGAATTGTCTAATTTAGCTCTCTGAGGGCTCGTCAGCCCTCTGAGGTTAGTCTTACAATTATCTGCAACTGGGCCAGGGATTTAGCTCAGTGACACTGTGCCTGCCTCACAAGCATGTCTTGAGTTTGATCCTCAGTACTGGAAAACAAAATAAAACAAAACAAAAAAACAAACAAAAATTTATCTGCAACTTACAAATGAGGATCTGAGGCTTGGAAGAGGTATGGTAACTTGCCCATATCATATAGCAAGGAAGTGGTAGCACCAGAATTTGAACTCCTATATGTTTAACTGCAGAGCCTTCCCTCCTATCCAGTAGGCTGAGCCACCCTTGTTGATTTCCTGTGTAGGGTATCGTGCTGGGGACTCCTGCTTGACTCTCTATTTAAGCTGGTCATGGCAGTGCACACCTGTAATCCCAGCTTGGGAGTCTGAGGCAGGAGGATCACAAGTTTGAGCCCAGACTGGGAAACTGGCAACCTTTAGAGACCCTGTCTCAAAAAAACAAAAAGGGCTGGGGTGTAGCTCAGTGGTAGAACACTTTCCCAGCAAGTTCTAGGCATCACATCCTGAGTTCAATCTCCAGTACTGCAAGGAAAAAAAAAGATTCTCCTATTTGGTGATAAGATTCCCTATGGATATAATCTCCATCCGGGCCATGAGACTCCTGGGGAAATCTTTTGAAGAACTCCCACCAGTTGGTTAGCAGCACAGGAAGGCATGGGCCCTAGGCCTGCAGACAGTGCTGACCATGGCTCTCTCTGTCCCTAGGACATCGAGAAGACCATGAGCACCGCTCTGCACGAGTTGCGTGAACTTGAGAGGCAGAACACGGCCAAGCAGGCACCAGATGTGGTGCTGGACACCCTGGAGCCCCTGAAGAACCCACCAGGCCCCATCAGCTCAGAGCCCGCCAGCCCTTTGCACACCATTGTCATCCGAGACCCTGATGCCGCTATGCGCCGCAGCAGCAGCTCCTCCACCGAGATGATGACCACCTTCAAGCCAGCCCTGTCTGCCCGCCTGGCCGGTGCTCAGCTGCGCCCGCCCCCCATGCGGCCAGTGAGGCCAGTGGTCCAGCATCGGTCCAGCAGCAGCAGCAGCTCAGGGGTGGGCAGCCCAGCTGTGACGCCCACTGAGAAGATGTTTCCCAACAGCACCACAGACAAGTCGGGCACCATGTGACCTGGGGGAAGAGCAGCATCGCCCTGCTCCACTGTGGCACACTGTGGCTTAGGGTGGCCTCAGTGGTTGCCACTTGCTTCCCAGAGATCCTGGCCTTGGAAGGCAGAGCCTGGGAGGTCAGCCTGGGAGAGGGCGTGTCAGCGGAGAGCCAAGGCCCAGGCATTAGCTGCAGCTCACACTCAGCCATGTGAATCCCACAGACCTCTTGTGTACAGACACCCTGAGGAATGCTAGAGTGAGAGCAGCCCCAAGTACAGCTTCCCCAAGATTGAGGCGGAATGCTAGACAGCGCCTCTGGCATACCGAACTGGAAGATTAGTCTCTCAACAGTCTCTCTACATACCTGTATGTGTGTGTATACATGTGCATATATATGCATATGCACATGTCATAGGTGTGTGTGTGTATATATATATATTTATGCATCTATATACATATACTAGATCTGGACACACACACATGCTAAATGTATATAGTATTTCCTTTTTCTTTTTATGAAACTTAGATTTACCTCAGACCCATGCCACCAAACATCTCCCACTGTTATTTGGTGGGATTTGCAGGGACTTCTCTGGGAGGACTTAAGAGGCCCCACAGTAACTGCGAATGAAGCAATATACCACTAACCTGCAGAAAAACAAAAACATTCTCCCACTGTCTCCAGAAGTCGTGGCCTTCCAGAACAGTCTGCCCCTACAGGAAGGGTGGGGCAGGCAGTACCCCAAGCAGTCTGCTCCTAGAGGTGGGAAACCCTTCATAGAAAACCCTCGGTCCACCCCAGAGACCTTGCTCTTCCACCTGGAGGCCAAGAGCCAACTCTACCCCAAAAGCACCGGAGGAGGTTGGCAAGAAGAGCCCTGACCACATCCTCGTGTTTGTGTGTAGAACAGGGACCACAGTGAGAACCTGGCCCCATTATAGCACAGTATTACATATTACACGTGGTTGAGAAAAAGAAAAAAAAAAATACCGTGGTGTGGAATACTTCAAATCCTAGAAATGCTGTAGGAATAAATCTGTGGTAACTATAGAGATTTAACTTATATCATCTTCAAAATATTTAATTTTTCTTTTCCTTGTTCTACTAATTATACTGTGTCAGATTTGAAACTAAACAGGCAGGGAGGCTTTGAAGCGCACTGTTTTCGTTTGAAGCCAGGTGTGATGCCCTTTGGCCCATGCCCTCCTGCATGCAGCTCGGGAGCCCCAAGTGCCTGGTTCAGCCTGGATGCTGCTGAGGGTGACCCTTGGCAATTTCTTTGCTAGAGAACAGCGATGGTGGTGTTTCTGCGAGTGAAGTAGCTTTCCACCCTCCTTTCCCTCCCCCTTCACCCACTCCCTTCAGAGCATTTGTAGGTGAACATGTGGTGATAGACACAGGGGCATGACTGGCAGGTAAAATGAGCAAGGCTTTTGCCGCTTGGTTAGAAAAAGGCCACCTGACTTGCTCTCATTTGATTCCATTTTACCTCCTTTTTTGAACTCTGTTTTCCAGAAATAGGCTGTTTCTGGATTATGGAACCCAGGCAGACCTGGGCCTACTGGGACCATGCTTCTTCTCTCTCTCTCTTTCTCTCTCTCATCTCTATCTCTCTCTGCCTCTGGGGCTTGGAGTCTAAAGTCCAGAGTTTTCAAGTCCCAGCCCTGTTCACTTAGGAGCTGTGTGACTTTGGGCACACCCCTGCACCTCATTGAGCCTTGCTTTTCTTCCCCATTAAATGAGGCTAACAAAGATCAGGTGAAAGAAAGCCAGCTGGGTAGAGTGGAAAGGGTTGTGCCACCATGACCGCTCTTGTTATTATCATTAGGAAGGTGAATCTTTCAGACCTGAAACTATCCAGAACTTCTTTTGAGAAGTGAGCAGTGGAAGTTTCCTACCAACTTACTGAGAGTCCAAAGCACAGCCCTTACATCTCTATGCCCTGAAGGTGCTTAAAATGCTATCCTTAGCATCTCCTCCCATTGGATTAGGTTTTAGCTTCTCCTCTGGTCCTCCTTTAAAAGGTGAACACATCCGAGGGAGAGGCCTGTGAGTCCTGATACCTGGGTGTGGGGGTAGAAAGCCACCCTACCTTGTCTGTAGGACTAGTGCTGAGCCCACCTCATGGAAAGAGGACTCGGGAAAGGGCACGTGAGAATGCCAGGGAGGGCCCAGGGATGGACATGCCCTCTTGTTTTGCCTGGAGCATTTAACACTTTGCTTTTAATCCAGGATCTGAAAGGTCCTCTGTCTTTGGGCATAGAAAGATATCCCCATTTTCCAGAGAGTAAGGCTTGGAACCTACCCACAATTTGACCTGTGACTGAGAGTCGGGGCTGAATCAGGCTCCAAAAGTCATTCATTTGCAAGGATGCTGTGCTATTCAGCCAGGACACAAGACTTCTCATTGTTATCCCAGAGATACTCCTAGACTTTAAATCCAGTCACCTCCCAGGCAAAATTCTGCCATGAATATCAGATGAAAAGTAAAAATTTGAATGGGCAAATGTGTTGTCTGACATACATCACACCAATCAGGCTGTGTGCTTTTTTCTCTGAATTGACTGATTTTGTTTTTCCTTGCTGACAACGGACCACTGTGCTTCCCAGAAATACCTGAAAGCAGAGCCTTAGCTGTTGTCTTTAAGCATCTGTTTTTTCCCCATTGGGAATGGTTGGTCCGTTCACATTACAGAGAGAGTGCACGGAGATGGCAGACGCCTGCCTCCCCACTTACCCAGCCCAAATCTGAGCCTTGATGCAGAACAGTGGAAAGCTGCCCCCTCCTCATCTGGCCCTCTGCATGTCTCCGCCCTCCACATCACTCAGTCTTACCAGGTCCACTGAGCGTTGGCATTTTCTTCCTGACTCCTGCCTGTTTTAGTCCACTATATATTGCTGTATTTGCTTAAATGCTGGAAAGTAACTGTTAAAATGTGAAACTGTAATTTTTTAAAGGCTATGATTAAATTATAGCCAATGCCACTTACCAAATCTTTGCACCTAGTAGATAGATCAATGTAAAAACAAATACCAGAAACCTAACTGTACAGTGAGTGTGGGGGAAATGTAGTAACCTAGTTAGTAGTCCTCAATATAACCAATTGTACAAGGGGAAGTGGTGTTTACCTACTTGTTCATCACCATTATTGAAAGCTGTACTGATCAGTTAGTTGATAACGGGCATTTTCTCTTTCTTTTTTTTCTTTTTTGGGCTTCACGGAATGATTTCTTAACCTTCAACTTATCCCTAGGTCAAGCCTTTGCTTTTCTGTGTAACTGATGTGCAGTCTGTTTTAGGAATGAACCAGCAAGATGTTCATTTAAAACTGACCAAAGACAGTTAATTCCTGGTCTAGTTTCCTGGGCCACCTGGCCCTGCTGCCACTAAAGACCTTTCTGGGATAAAATTGAGAACAAGCCGTGCTTTCACCTCCACTCTCCTTCCCCACCCTCCCTTACTTCCTTTTCCTCTTAAAGTGCTGCTCTGAGCTGTGGGATTCTATGAAAAATCCTTGCCTTTCCTTGTTTTCAGTGCTAACGATTTCTCACCTCGAAGCGCCTTTTGAACCCTGGGCAGAGCACACAATTGGAGGGAATTGTGGGCTTGGGAATTAGTCTTGGGAGTCTTTTATCTGAAGTCACCAGGGGCCAGGAAAGAAATGGATTCCCAAGGGAAGGACGGTTTCTATTCGTGAAGAAACTGGAGTGGGAAGAGACACAGGGAAACTTAGCCATCTTTTGGCTACCAGCTGGAACCAGAAGTTCAGAGATCTGCCTTATAAACATTTAAAACTGGCTTTGGTACCCAAAAGGGAGCTGTGTGGGGCCAGACTTCCTGCTCTGCCGGCATCCTTGGAGTGCCTTGGTAGGTGTAGCTCTCTTGTTCAGGAGGCGTGGATGCATGTGGAGAACTTCTCGTGACCTGGCCATGCATGCTGTGCGTGGAGAAGACCCCGAGGACTAACACCATGGCTCTTCCTCTCAGTCTGTCTATTCCTTGCTTTTCACGTGTCAGATGGTTCCACACTAGAGCAGAGGCCTCCTTCTCCCGAGGAGCCCAGCAAGGGCCTGGCTGGCTCACAACCAAGGTGGTAGGCTCTGCCCAGTAGGGAGGGGAAGGGCGGTGGGAAGGAGGCAGACAGGGGTGAGCGAGCATTGCCCGGCTGATTTTCTGCTGTGCAGAGCAGAGGCTGACGTTTCATGTCAGCTTCCCTGGCTCTCCGGGGCCCCCTCTCTTCTGAGAAGCCATGTGGAGAATTCCCCACACACCCAACGCTGCCAGGGGAGCTGAGAAAGGACTTTGCTGTCAGGTCTGAGTCCTCCCGGCCTCTCTGAGGTTGATCTGCCAGTATCCCATTGTCCCATTCTCTGGGGTGGCCAAATGGTCACTGCTGCCCCTGGCTGACACCTCCTGTCTGTGTGAACTGTCCCAGGCAAAAAACAAAGCTGTTCCTTGAACCCAAACAACTTGAGTGCACTTTTCCTTCCTTAGACAGAAGCTGAGCCTGGCTGGAGTTCTGCTCAGGCCCATGCTCCCGGCAGTGTGACTGTTTACATGGCTTGGCAGTAGGTTTGGTTCTGATTGCTTCAGAGTGGCTGGTCTATTTTGTTTCCTTTGGTTTCCTTCCTCCCCAAATTGTGACAGGAAAAACAAACCAAAACCACCCTAGGGAATTGCTGGTTGCCTGTCTCCACTTGATAAGTGTTGCCCTCTTCTGGGTATTGTTTCTCTACCTTCTAACCAAACGCCCGTCCTCCTATAGAGTGTCTGATTGGATCCTCTGTTTTGTATTCTGATGGTGCCTGCTGGTTTGACGTGGAGCTCTCCTGTGAAATAAAACAGCTTAACTTTTCTCAAACATGCTCTGGTGGTTTTTGAAACAGTGCGGTGGCACATGGTGGGTTGGGAGGTCCAAGTTGACGCACTTACTCTATCTTCAGGCTTCCCCAGGAACTGCTTTGATATGTTCTTTAGCTCAGACCCAACATGGTGAAGGCAAGGTTACAAAGAAAAGGGATTCAACTGTAGAGCTAAGTGAAGAAGGTAACTGCTGTGTGACTCCTGGGAAAATAGGAACTGGAAGTGTCAAGGCAAAGGCAAGTGGGGATCAGGGCTATTGTCTTCAGGAAAGGTTTTAAAAAATGTAGGACACATTTCCAGAGATCAAAGGAGACCAGTTTCCAATGTCAAGACATAGGCAACATGTTAGCATTTGTTGTCTAACCACGTGATATAGCCTCTTAGACTTTTTTCTTACATGTATACTTGTGTGTGTGCATGTGCACCATTAATTGACCACTTGCTCTGTCTCAGGCACCAGAATAAATATTTACGTGCATTTTCTCATCTAATCCTCAACACAGCCATTGAAGGTAAGTACCATCACCATACTCCACTCGGTGGTTGAGAAATGAAAGTTCAAAGTGGTTAAGGAACCTTCCAGGTCTCCTAAGCTATGGAGGAGAAAGAACTTGAAGTCAGTCTTTCTGGCTCTGAAGCCATATTCTGTACAGTGGTATCATCCTGTCTCTCACCATGGGAGGACCAAGTGATGAAGATGCTTGCTGCCTGCTCAGTCACAGAAGACCCCTGGGCCTGTCCTTTCTGAGGAAGCCTTTGGTGGATTTGTGTGCCGCAGCCTCTTTGCAGAAGAGGATGAGGCCTTTTGCCAGCCCAAATGCTTTTGTCATTTCCACCCAAACCACCCACCTGTCAGTGGTAGTCTCTTGCTAATTTCAGACCCCTCTGCTCTGAAACCTAAGAGCCTATGTTTTGTGCACATACCATAACTAGTTACCTACTCATAGCCACAGCAGTCAGTCGAGAGCCCTAAATTCGAAAAACAAGTATGGACAACTTTTTGTGTAACTTGCCCTAAATTAGCTGCTGGAGACACAGATGGATGGGCCCAGTTTCTACCCTCCAGCTCTCCAGGTGCACACAGTTTAATTATAAAATAATGATTTCAGAATTCTATAATCAACTTGTTCGATATTGAGCCGCAGGTGATCACAGATATTCAGATGACCAAGGCAGGAGGACCAGCTCAACCCAGGGCCACTTAATAAGATCCTGTCTCAAAATGAAAAATAAAAAAAGGAGTGGGGATGTAGCTCAATGCAAAGGCCCTGGGTTGTATACCTAGTACCACCACAGAAAGAAAAAGAAAGAAAGAAGGAAAAAGGAAGGAAGAGAAAGGAAGAGGAAGGAAGGAAGGAGAGAAAAGCAAGCAAGCAAGCAAGCAAGAAATTGAGCCACAGGTCCTTCCCTTGTGTAGCCCATGGGTATGCAGTAGATAAAAGTGTCTAGCCAGGGATTTAGCTCAGTGGTTCTGGTGCCTGCCTTGCAAGCGCGAGGTCCTGAGTTCAATCCCTGGTACCACCCCCCCAAAAAAGGGGGAAAAAATGTGTCTAACCAAGCCGTGGAGTCAGGAGTGGTGTCTACTCACCCCAGACTTTGTCTCAGGAAAGGGTAGTTGCCCAAGGGAAATCATGAGCAGTATCTTCACCTTACAGATCCCTGAGGAATAATAATGGTGATGGTTTTCAGCCATTCAGTTTTAGGGTGGTTAGTTATGCAGCCATCACAAACAGAAAAATATTCGTGCAAACATGCTAAAAACTTGACACGGGCTCCAGGTTAACTTGATGATAAAGTTAGTGTTCATCAAATACATGCTGTATGTCAGACACAGTGCAAGGCACTTCGCATGTCTTGCCTTGTAGAGTCCTTACAGCCACTTGCGGAGGTAGATTCTGTCGGCATCCCTGCTTCCTATCAAGGACGCTGGTGCTCAAAGAGTTTAAGACTGGGATTCCATAGCTGATGCTCCAGAGCCCAAACCTGTTCCTTTGCAGCCTGCCTATAAGGCAAACCTTAGGAACCACTTTCTGGTTTAGCCCTTACAGGCCAGTCAGGATTCTGTGGTCCCCATGAGGCTCATTGTTGGGAGCTCTGATTGACATGACAACCACCTGCAGCACAGCCTGTCCCAGTTTCTCCCAGAGACCTGTGGTACTTCTTTCATCAATTTCTTTAAAACCCTAACACTGAGGAGGGTAATTATTGTTATTGATTCCTTGCATTAGTGCCACATTTGTCTTTTCCATTGTAAGAACACTTCCCATTTTCTTGTTTTTCGACATCAACTCTTCAAAGAACATATAGGTGTATATTAGGTGGGATGTCCATTGCACAGATGGAGAAGCTGAGGATCAGACAGCATACAGGACCCAGTTCAACTCCAGGACCAGGCAGAGGGAGAGAAGAGGCCTCTGGCTTCCTTGGCCCCAGACCCAAGCTCCTCAGCCCTTGTCATTCTTCCACACCCACACCACACACCTACTGCCCAGGGGCAGCTTCAGTCACTGGGTGAGCATGGATCCAGCCCTAACTTGTATCAGCTGACTAACCTGGCAAATGAACCTTCTGGGCCTCCATTGCCCCAGGAACAAGGCACTAACAAGAGTATTAACTACTTCCTTCCTGGGGAGTGGAAGTCTAGAAAGGATGATCTGAATAGTTTGCCGGCCACTTGAGCACTTAGCAAATGCTGCTGAGCTTGTCCCTGGTTTCAGCTGCTCATCTGCTGGACCAAGTTAACTTTGAGGAAAAAGCTTGATCTGACTTCCACCATTCACAGACTTCCAGCTTTGGAGTGAGCCTCTTTTCCTGTACACAGTGAGGGGCTTGGGGAGTTGATCTCAACTATTTCTTCCAATTCTGAGGGCATCCTTAGTGCCTTGACAGAGGGTTGCAGAAACACAAGGGGTAGAGTCAATCATCCACACCTGCTGTGGTTCCTAAAGTGAGCAGCCTGACACCCTTGTGCTGTGTTATCCCATCCACACATGGCAGCTAGATCCCCTTCAGGCCAGAACGTTTTATTTTCCTCATTGCACTTATCATCAGTAGATTTTATTTTATTCTGCTCTCATCAGAAGGAATGTTTCCTCCCCTCGACACTAACCTAGAATGTAAGTCCCAGAGAACCTGGAATTTTGTCTGTTTGTCCGCACTATCTCCTGGTGATCTCTGGGCAATGGTATAGCACTTAGCACACAGTAGGTGCTCAGTAAGCACTTATGGGCGAAATGAGTCTCGGTCACAGGTGGGAGCAAATGCTGTTTCGGAGTGAGGTGTGCTGGTCATTCCTTCCATCCACTTCTTGAATGAATAGCTCTGGAGTTCCCACTGCACACCATGGCACATGGTACAGGGGACACGGACATGAGCAAAGCAGATCAAAACCTCTGTAGAGTTCATGGTCAAATGCTGGGATCAACAATGACAACAGAATGAGAAACCCGAGGATATGGGGAGGACACTGAGTTCTGCCCCGGGCTGGGAGGATGGGGCAGGGTAAAGGGAGCAGAAACCTGAGGAGAACCCCAGCCTGTGGGGTGGTGGAGGGGTTGGAGGGGTGGCCAGGACCAGTGCTAAGAGAGGGAAGTGGTGGAGAAGGATGCAGGCTGGATGCAGGTGAGCAGTGTGCTCAGGAACGAGTCTGCTGAGGAAGAGGAGGAGGAGGAGGAGGAGGAAGAGGAAGAGGAAGAAGAGGAGGCACATTCGGGGTCTGCGGAGCCAGGGTGGGACTTGTGAAGTTGTTCTAAGTGCACTTAAGAGGCCACTAGAAGGGTTTTAAATTCTGTTTTGTTTTGATTTTTGTTGTTCATTAGTGGGGATTGAATCCAAGGTCTTTAAGCTGTATCTCCAGCCCTTTAGTAACATTTTTAAAAATTTTGCTAAGTGTCTTGCTAAATCTCTAAATTGTGATCCTCCTACCTCAGCCACCTAGAATGCTAGGATCATAGGTGTGTGCCACCATCCCCAGCTTGGAAGGTTTTTGTTTTGCCCCTCTACCTTTTGAGATAGGGTCTTGCCACATTGCTCAGTTGCCCAAGCTGGGCTGGAATGTATGACTGATCCTCCTGCCTCAGCCTTCCAGAGTGTTGGAATTACAGGCCTGCACCACTATAACTGGCTTCCACTAGAAGGAGTTTTGTTTTTGTTTTCCACTGGAAGGTTTTTATGGGAGTATTACGTGATCTCTTTCACTGTGGCTTCTTGACCAGGCACAGCTGCTGTTTGACAAGGGAAGGCCCGGGCGAGGCACCATGTGGAGCCATGATGCAGACTGGCCATGGGCTCCAGACCACCTCTCTTCATCTGCAGCTGATGAAGGAAGAGGAGGAAGAATCACTATGAGCCTTGAGCCTGGTCCCCGTTTTGCTCCTGCTGCTAGCTTTGCTTCTTTATCCATCCAGACATCTGAGCATAGCACCCCACCCTAGGGACTTCGTGGAGTTCTTCCCCAGCTGGAGACCCACCCCATGGAGCAGGCTGAGGCCCAGCTTCCCCAGGCCATGCATGGACCTCGTCACATATGAAACGCATCTCCACTTGCCAGCTCCTTAACTGAGCCTAGACTTGCCCTATCCATCCCTCTTGAATCCCTTGGTCAATAGTGTGGCCCATTCTGCTCCATGGCTATTGTATGAGAGATGCGTTAAGTAGACCAGTTGTCGGGAACAAGGCCCCAACTCAGCCCAGCCAAAATGAAAGCATACTTTGTGCTCCTGTGAGGGACAAGTCCAGGGCAGAAGAGGATGCTGGCAGGCTAGATCCAGGTGTCCCAAAGGCGTTGGCAGACTGGGTCCATCCAGCCCAGCCGTGCTCTCCTCCATACTGTGGCCCCGGGCTGACTGCCCCAGGGGTGGCAGAGATGGCCCAGAGCAAGCCCTGGCTTCGACCCTAGCACTTGGTGACACTGGCAGAGAGAAGTACACCTTGTTTCCAAGGGCTGGGTCCAAGTCCCAGGATTTTCTGATTGGTGTAGTGTGAGCCACATGCTCACCATGGATCAATTGGTGCATGGAGAGCCGGTCTTCTGGATCAGCACCTGCTGGTAGGCTTGCTTTGGGGACCACGGCTGGGACACAGAAACCTCTCAATACGTGTGGCTGCTATAATTATGATCTTGCCTATCGGAGAGTTTTAATTCCAGTGTTCCTCTCCCCAAACCGAACTGATTATTTTCCCAACTGACCTTGGGGTCTTCATATAAGTCGGACAGTTGATGACCTGCTTCTACTCCACAGCTCCAAGTAGGAACATTTATGTAGGAAAAATACATTTGTGCACAGCACTGACTATGTGCCAGGCACTATTCAAACACTTTCCACAGACTTTCCAATGGGAAAGCTATCAGGCATAAACTATTCTTAGCACCACGAAGTTCAGAGACAGTGACTTTCCCAAGCCCACACAGTTGATAAATGGTAAACCAAATGCACGTAGGTCAGATCACACAGCACAAGTGCCCAGCTCCCTCCAATCTCTAGTACATTCTTTTCACCCTACCTGGCTAAGGTCTTCATCCCAGTGATGCCTGACATAGACATCAGGGTCTAACAGACCCAGGAGGGAGGTATGGAGGTGAATTTGACCCTGTGCCCTATAGGTCCAGCATACAGGACCCTACATATAGTCACAGATCATTGAACTCCAGATAAATGAAAGAAAGCAAGATGAACGAGGCAATCGCCCAACTGTGATTCCTCCTTAGAGCCTGAGTCCACATCCAGCCCGATACTCTGCTGTCCCCCGGTGGTCATACTTAAGATGGCAGGCAAGGAAAGCAGAATCTAATTTTAATGAAGATTTTGAAATTTTTAGACTAGTACAAACTAGTATAATTATCCCATTCTATTTATATCTAGATTTAACAACTATTTATGTTTTTCCATGTTTTTTTGCCCTTTTTAGAATTTTAAATAAGTTACCATCATCCTGAAATACAATAGCCTACAATAACTTTAGATACAATAGCTTTAGAGAAAAAATGATATTTTCGACATAGTGACAATCTCTTTACATACTGAATAAAGTAAATAATTTTATGATATAATATAATACTTAACATTCAAAATTCTCTGATTGTTCCAAAAGTGCCCACTCTTCTGTGAGGACAACTGGCCTGATGGAGACCCATTTCCCTAGGAATTGCGCCCACCTGATGGCTTTCTTATCCGTTGATAATTGTTGCTGGAACGATCATATATCATTAGGAGATGGGAAATGGTGATTTTATGCTTTTATCATTCCTCCCATACTTATTAGCAAGAAGTCTCACTAACAAGGACTTGATGTCCGCTGGGGTGACAAGGATGACTTGGCGCCTTGCTTCCGTCTCCATGCAGACAGCCAGAACTTGTTCACATGGTGGTGATTAGAAAGGTGGGGAAAGCCCAGAGTCCAAGTACTTTGCAAGCTTCTGCCTTTAATGTCCTGGCCAAAGAGAGTCATGAGATCAAACCCAGATTCAAGGAGCAGAACAGCAGACCCTTTGGCTGTTGGAAGGAGATACATTATAGAGGCATGGATACAGGAAAGAATCTGTAGCTATTTTTGCAATCTGCAAACTAATAGGCACACAGTCCTTTTCCTGCACACAGCACCTCAGTGTTCCTTCAGGAACTCCCACCTGGTCACTCACCCTAGACAATCTGAGGCAGCATGATTTGTTCAAGGATGAGCATGGGACCCAATTTTGGCCAATTGGGAATGAGGTACTTTATTTCTGCTGAGGCAGCTTTGCTAGTACAATTTAGGTCTCAGTTTTCTGGAGGCTCTATTTTGAGAGATGGGTGTTGCCCGCCTGAGCTTTAAGCCAACACCCCGGAAAGCAGAGCTAAGGCCTCAAGAAAGATGGAGAGGGAAGGAAGACTGGTGTAATGACTGTGGATCAAACCACTTTTGCACCCCTGTTCCATGAGCTAACACATTGTCACCCCTCTCTGGGGACATAGTAGGTCCTCAAAATATTTGCTGCCAGGTTCCACAGGAGGGGCTGGTCCCTCCCAGGAAGAGGCTGTGGTGAAGCAGATACCTGGACTCAGGGAGAAGTCCCCAGAGGCAGTGGGCTAACCTGGGTGGAGCAGGCCATGGCCACAGTTCATTAGTACCTACACCAGGATTTGCAGGCCTGAGGGAAGTGGCTCCTGTGGAGAGGGCCCAGTGAACACAGGTAGGGCCATGTCTGGAAGGATTTAGGATGAGGGTCAAGTCTGAGGGCCCAGGCATGCTGTGGCTTCCAGAACGGGGTCCACAGTTAGGTATGGGACTCCACACTTATCACCCCCTCCTGTGCCTGTGTCTTCGTTTTCCTCAAGGAAACCCTGTCTTCACCCAACAGGGCCAGGGACTCTGGAAGTAGAAACCAGACTGAGTCACTCCCCTGCCTGGAATCCTCCAAGGGCTCCTGCTGTGCCGCAAATGACACAGCAGAGGCTACAGTGACTGCTGCTCACACAGTGCTTGTGGGTGCCAGGTATGGCTCTAGTGCTGTACGTACGTGACCCCTTTGATTCTCAAGCGTCCCTTTAAGACAAATGCTACTATTGTCTCCATTTTACAGAAAGGAAACTGAGGCACAGATTCACTAACTTGTCCATGTTAACAGAATAAAAGCCAAACTCTTTGCTACATCCTCAGCCTTTTTTTGTTTTTTGTTTTTTTGAGAGAGAAGGTCTCATGAACATGCCCAGGCTGGCTTGGAACTGGGGATCCTCCTGCCTCAGCCTCCTGAGTAGTTGAGATTACAGGTATGTGCCACTGGACTGGGTCCATAAATTCTTTATCGAGGCCTGGAACTCCCCCACCCTTTGTTATTAATTTATTTATTTTGGTGTTACTGGGGACTGAACCCAGGGTCTTCAGACTAGGCTGTATTCCTAACCCTTGCATGTTTTATTTTTATTTTGAGACCAGTTCTCACTAAATTGCCCAGGCTGGGCTCAAACCTCACCCTCCCAAAATCCTGGGATTACAGGTGTGCACCACCATGCCCAGCTCTGGCCTGGATATTTGTACAGCTGCCTGTATCTCACTGGGTCACTGTACACATCATTTCCTCATAGGAGACTTTCCAGATCAATTGTTCTTTTTTAATATTTTCATATCATTTATCACTTTATGAAAATCTTGGGCTTTTTGTTTTGTTTCTGTGTTTCTGGAGATTGGACCCAGGGCTTTGCACATGCTAGGAAAGTACTGTACCATGAGCTACTTCCTCAGCCCTTTTTATTTTGAGACAGTCTTGCTACATTGTCCAGGATGGCCAGCCTTGAAGTTTCGATCCTCCTCTCTCAGCATCCCAAGTCACTGGGATCACAGGTGTGCGTCACCATGCTAGGTGAAATGCTTCATTCACCTTCTTACACACTCCCTTATTTGTTTCTGTCCTGGCCCTTTCTCCTCCTCCAAATCATCAGCTACTTGAGGATAGGAGCCAAGTCTGATTTCTTCTCCCCCATAGTTCGGCACCTGGCGCTGGTGAGTAAGGGTGCTGTGGACATTTGTTAAAATGAACAAGGGGAAGAAGGAATGGAGAGAGGAGGGAAGAAGAAGAGACACATAAGGCCCTGAGCTTCTTCCACATTTCCTTCCCCTAACTAGAAAGAGGAGGGTCCCAGAGCAAGAGAGGATGGAGGGTTGAGAGGGCCATGGTGAGAGGGAGCCATCAAGAGGAGTCCAGGGCAGGCATGCAGCTGGGGCAGTGCCGCAGTGATTAGTGGTGTCAGTTCTGGCAAACAAAACACAAGGTGCCCAGTAAGAAATTTGAATTTCAGATAAACAAGGAATAATTTTTTAGTACAAGTATGTTGTGTACAATATTTGGGTCATACCACACTTAAAAATTGTTTGCTTTATACCTGAAACTCACATTTGCTGGGCATCTGGTAGTTTATCCTGCTACTCTAACTAGATCCTCAGTTGTTGCTATGCATTGTGGGAGATTCTGCTGAGCACTGGTCTGTTTTGTTTTCTTTTCCCTCTGGAATAAGGAAGTACAACTCCATATTGATCTACAGAAAGGAACCTTTTGGAACAGCACCTGCTGGAGGAGAAGGGCTCTGAGGGGAATAAACTCCTCGGGGAAGTTTAGAGCATTGCCTTGTTCAGAGCTCAAAGTGGACTTTCAGGCCCCACTTTTGCCTTGAGTGCTCCTTCCCAGGCGGACACTCGGACCTCAGGGGTAGCCTCCTCCCCCGGTGTTGCTAAAGAGCACTGGAGGGGGAAATTTCTCCTGAGAGCGAGAGATCTATGGTAATGTGGTTTTAGCTGGTGAGTCATCACGCATTCCACCTCACCAGGCAGCTGGCGCCAGGACTCAGGACTCAGGTGAGTGGCTCGCTGGTGAGGAAGTGAACTGGGCTCCAACAGTGGTGCCTGCTGAGTCTGTTCTCAAGGCGGAATGAGAAGAATGCATTTCTTTCTTGGCCATCTTTCTCCTTCCTTCCCCATTCTTTCTTTTTTCTTTTATTTGGCAGTTCTGGTGATTGAACCCAGGGCCTTGCACATACTAGGTAAGTGTTCTACAGCCCAGGCCTTTTTTGTTTTATTTTGGGACCAGGTGACACTAATTTCCCCAGGCTGACTATATTCATGCAAATCTCCTGCCTCAGCCTCTTGAGCAGCTGGGATTACAGACCTGTGCCACTGAGGCTGGCCCATCCCCATTCTTTATCTCTTTCCCCACTTCCTCACTCATCTTTCCAGCCGTTTGTCACCTTAAAGATAACTAGTTGTGGCCAACTAGTTGCATAAAGGAATAACTGCTCGCAGGCTGGGTGGGGTCTTACTCCCATTTTCCTAGGGTCTCCTTCCACCACTCCACCCCTGCAGCCAGAACCTTCCCAGTTCATTTCATGCCCTTCTCTGATTGGATGGTACAAAGCCACAGGGGTATCCAACCCTCTGCTCTTCCTTTCCTGGCCCCAGTAAGTATTCTGGAACTCTCAGGCCTGGCCTTGCCACATGCATTTGTCAGTTAATTTATTCCTAAGTGTCAGGAGGTGATGCCCTCTGGTTTGGGATTTGAAAACCTGGGTTCAAGCCTTGGCATTGCCAGTTACAAAACTGATTTTAAATGAGTCTCAATTCCTACATCTGTAATTGGGAATAAATGTTGTGACGAGGTCCTTATTCTGTAGTGCTTAATATGTACTCTCCAGCCAGACTGCCTGAGTTCAAATGCTTCTTCCACTTACCAGCGGGGCGCCCTGGGCCAGGAACCTGTATCATATTCCTCAACTGGTGGGAAGGAGTCTGAATAATAAGTGAATAGGTCAAGCAAGTGCACAGGCATAAAAACACTCTGTAGTTGGGCATGGTGGCATTTCAAGTTCGAGCCTAGCCTGGGTAACTTCAAGAGACCCTGTCTGAAAACGAAAGAAAAGAAAGAAAGAAGGAAAGAAAAGAAAGTGAAAAGAAAAGAACAGATAACCTGCTCAGAGCAGGACAGATTATAGCGATTAGGGAAGGCGATGTGAAGGAGGCAGCACTATAGATTTTGAAATATTTGGCAAGGCCTGCATTTTGTTTCCTGGCTGTCTTTTTTTAATACTCAACCTGCTGTAGGATTTTAAAAACCCCACTTTCTGCCCTGACAGGCGCCTCAGAAGTCTGGCGCATGCGCAGTACTAGCATTTTAGGCTGCGCTCTGCCCACGCACTACAACTCCCGGCAGGCCCCGCGCTCGCCTCAGGTGTCGCGGGCTGTGACGTAGCACAATAGCGCGGGGAATTTCGAGTGGCAGTCCAGCGCTGGAGGGCAGTGGGACTCCAGCATCCTCTGGGACGATTATGGAACCCCTGGGCGAGCCTCGGTGGCCTCCGGGCCTGGCAGTCATGAAGGTGAGTGCCTCGGGGAGGTCGGAGCTTCGGAGGTCCGTGGAAGGTTAGCCGCGCCTTGGGCGGAGAAAAGACTTGGCGGAAGCGGCGAGCTGGGCCCGCGTGCCAGGCCTTCCTCTATCTCTTGCCAGCAGCTTAGTTTTGGGTCTCAGTTTTTCCCTTGAGAAGTGACGGGAATAATCTTTGAATCCTCCTGGTGAGCTGAGGTTGACTGTCTTAAGAAACCGAGTATTCTGAGGTTAAGTCACAATGGTAACTGTTATCGGAAAATCAATAAACAGTCTCAAGCTAACCTTTTCTGAGTGTGTACTGTGTCCCAGGCACTATGTAAATAGTGACGCTGGGCAACATTTTGGTTGGATATTGTATCAATCAATATTTTCAAAATCACATAGCAAAGCAGATAGTCAGCTTTACATGATTGTTCATTTCTTCTAATTACTGTTTGGAAGCCTAGTGCCGGTTTCTCCTAACAATTGCACCTAACACCTGCCGTCCATTCCTCCCTAACATGTCCTAACTCCTCTAACGATTGATCATCTCGCTCTCTTAAACAGAGATCAGGACTGAGGCTCAGCAATAGTTCATTTTATTGAATTATTTATTTATGTAACTTTATTTTTGATTTTTGAGACAGGGTCTTGCTATGTATGTAATTCAGGCTGACCTTGAACTCACTATGTAGCCAGGCTGGTCTTGAACTCGAAGTGATCCTCCTGCCTCAGCCTCCCCAGTGCTGGGATTATAGGCGTGCGCCACTGCTCCTGGCCCTATGTAACATTTATTTATTGTGGCTTTTTTTTTTTTTTTTTTTGTCCTGGGGATTTAACCCAGGGCCTTTGAACTGAGCTACATCTCCAGCCCTTCTCCCCCTTTTTATTTTTTATTTTCAGATAGGGTCTCTAAGTTGCTATGTTGCCCAGGCTGGGTTTGAACTTTCATTCTTCCTGCCTCAGCCTCCCAGAATACTGGGATTACAGGTATATGCCACTGCACCCCTTTATATTTTTGACAAGGCATACCAGTTTCCATTTTTGGTTTTGATGGGCCCTGGATTCCTGCTAGGTTTGCTCAGGAGCAAGTGTGCTTTGCTGTGCTGGGAAAGAATAATTTTATTGTTTTTTCTTGTTAGTATGATTTTTTTCCATTTATGACTGTATAACTTTCCCCCCTTCCTCCCTTTTTTAAAACTTGGGGATGATAATATCTATCCCATCTACTTTTTTTTTTTTTGTATCGGGGATCGAACTTGGGACCTCGAGCTTGTTAGGCAGGTGGTGGAACCACTGAGCTAAATCCCTGGCCCTGTCCCATCTACTCTTAAAGCAGACTTTGAGGATTAAGTGAAGGGTCTTGGGGGAGGCTAAAATAAATATAAGGTCTTGTTTTTCCTTCTGTCATCAGGGACAGTGCTTGGGGATGTGAGATTTTCCTGTGGTGAAAAGCTAACATTGTGGTGAGATCCAGAAAAGCTGTGGTTTTGAAGTTGTGGTGGTCTTGGCACCGAGATACTGAAGAACATAGCTTTGAATTCCATTGGTCCTAGGTTGAATCTGGTCTTTTTCCCTTGCTTTGTGACCTTGGGTCATTTTTTGAACTTCTCTGAGACTGAATTTCCTTCAACTAGATACAAAACCAAACAGTTAAGGTTGGTGAGCTGAGTTATGTATGTGGGTGGGGAGCCTGTTGGCTAATTCACTGTGTTTAATATAGTGGGCACAAAGTGAGTGCTCAGAAATGTAGTAACCATTTAATTCATATATTTTTATTATTATTATAAGCACTTAATGTGTTAAGTGCGTCTCTCCCCTTTTTGTTTGTTGTCATAAAGATTGAGTTGGATAAAGGAAGTGGAGGAGCTCTGTGTCCTGTAAAGCTCCTGCCTTGTGGATTTGGATGTATTTTATATATTTCCACATTTCCTAGTGTTCTTTGGAGGCAGATTCCATGTCTTCTCTGGCTTTGACATTGCATCACAGCATTGAATATAGAGTTCAGTACCAGAGAGCATTCGGTGAATTTCCAACAGAGTGGATTGAGTTCATATTTAACTCACATTAGAATCATGGGAGTTTTAAGGTTGAAAAGACATTCCCCAACCAGAATTTTCATTCCTTTTATAGCACATTTCCCAATTTTTTTTCTAATTTTTTTGTTTGAACTTCTCCAGGGCCAAAGAACTAGAAGCAGCTCTGGCTGGAGTTCTTATATCAAATAGAAATCTGAATTAGAATGTATGATTTCTAACTTAGGATCCATAGAAAGACTTTGATGTCTGGAGTTATTCATAATCTTTTTGTTTGCATGTTTTTCTGAGAAAAGTTTATAGTTTTCATCCAGTTTCCAAAAGGATCTGTAGCCAAGAGCTTAAGAACCTTCTTTTCGCCCTTTATCTGTATCCCTCTTTGACTTTATGAACTAAAGAAATCTTGGAGTATCTGCTGACAGCCCTCCATTGAGGCTTTTACTTTATTTATTTTATTTTTTTGAGACACATGTGCAAGTTGCTGTCTTGGAGTGATATGACTGGCAGTTTGTGCCAGAGTGTTACAGCCCATCTGATTCCCTTCCATAAACCATGCTCTGAAGTTTTTTGCAGAACTCCTCTTACAGAAGACGATGGCATATACAAAGAAGTGTAATAGACCAACTTTGGTTTCTAGTCCTGCCTCTGCTTATAATTGAGCACAATCCTCTAGCTTTTTGTGTCTGTAACAACTTACTGACCAGATAATGGAAGATTTTTGAATTTTGATGTTAGTTGACTGGTTTTACTACAACAAAAAGTTACTTTTTGTTAGATTATAAATGTGTATGTGTATGGTAGAAAAAAATGAAAGAAGAAAATGAAAATTACTCATACATTTACCTCCATTTAACATTGTCTCTGATTTCCTTTCTGTTTTTATGCATTTAAACTTTGAAGTTATTTTATAATCAACTTCTTGGGTTGACCTCAGTTTTGTCTTTAAAACTGAGATATTGGGTGCTCCTTCCCTGATGTAGGCAAGCAGACCCATGCCAGATGAGCCACAACCCTTCCCCAGAATGAGCAAGGAGGCCTGTGCCAGATGCATGATGCTACTCCAGACACATGGTGGGAGCCCCTCCACCAATGTGGGCAAGTAGGCCTGTGCTGGATGTGCAGCCACCCTCATTCAAACAAGCAGGCCTCTGTGCAAGACATGCTCCCCCTGCCCAAGGGTGAGACCATGCACCAACTCCAAGGTGGATATACATTTTATTGCCACTCAGCACTGGCCAGCAGAGGCAAGAACTAACCAACTGATCTGATCCCGGACTAGGACAATGCACAGGGAGAGAAGGGAGTAACCAGATCCCATGGCTGTCAACATTAAGTCCAACAGTCCGCTTGAACCCCTGCCCCATGGCCAACATCCAGCAGAGACCAGAGGGCTGATTGTATTTCCCATCTACCAACAGGAATGGGGACACACTTTAGCTTGAATGGTACCCACATTCTGGGGT